GCCATCCAGAGGGACCTTGACATGCTTGTGAGGTGGGCTGATGCCAACCTCATGAAGTTTAACCATGCCAAGTGCAAGGTCCTACAGCTGGGTCGGGGCAATCCCAGACACAGCTACATGCTGGGCAGAGAAGAGATTCAGAGCAGCCCTCCGGAGAAGGACTTGGGGGTGCTGGTTGATGAGAAAATGAACATGAGCCAGCAGTGTGCGCTTGCAGCCCAGAAAGCCAACCGTATCCTGGGCTGCATCAAGAGGAGCGTGACCAGCAGGTCGAAGGAGGTGATCCTGCCCCTTTATTCTGCTCTCATGAGACCTCACTTGGGGTATTGTGTGCAGTTCTGGTGTCCTCAACATAAAAAGAACATGAATCTGTTGGAACAAGTCCAGAGGAGGGCCACGAGAATGATCAGGGGACTGGAGCACCTCCCATATGAAGATCAGCTGAGAAAGTTGGGGCTGTTCAGCTTGGGGAAGAGAAGCTGCGTGGAGACCTCATAGCAGCCTTCCAGTATCTGAAGGGGGCTTATAGGGATGCTGGGGGTGGACTCTTCATTAGGGACTGTAGTGGTAGGACAAGGGTTAATGGGTTAAAACTTAAACAGGGGAAGTTTAGATTGGGTATAAGGAGGAAATTCTTTCCTGTTAGGGTGGGGAGGCACTGGAATAGGTTGCCCAGGGAGGTTGTGAATGCTCCATCCCTGGCAGTGTTCAAGGCCAGGTTGGACGAGGCCTTGGGTGATATGGTTTAGAGTGAGGTGTCCCTGCCCATGGCAGGGGGGTTGAAACTTGATGATCTTAAGGTCCTTTCCAACCCTAACTATTCTATGATTCTATGACCCTGAAATAAATCTGGTGCTGCCCTGGGAAGAGTTGAGACCTTTGTCAGACTCTCATAGTATGGTTGTACCTGCCCTGTCCGATTTCCCCCAAGTAAGTGTTCCCAGTAAGCCTTGTTAGAAGAACAAAGAATAACTATTTTGTTTTGGCACTGAAAGAAGAACTTGGAACCATAAATTAATCTCATCTTGTATATGCATTTATCTGGTCATTGTGGATTTTTTTAAAGGCAAATGTTCGTTGCAACTCTGTCTAGAGCTATGCCTATAACTTGTTCTTTAAAGTGTAGTGGCTCCTGTCTGCAAATATATTTGTGTCAGTTCTTCCTGGAAGTACGGCAGATTGAATTTTTCTTTAAATGAAAAACAGACTTCTAAAATTAAAATTCTTTATTTTTGAAATTTATTTATTATATATTTATTTATAATATTTATTATATAGTAATATAATAAATCTATTATAAATTTTAATTCTAAAATTAATTTTATTTAAAATTAGAAACATTGTGTGGCTTTTTATTGTTAATCAGAAGGTCAAAGCTAGCAAACAAAAAAGAGTGCAGGTTTCCTTGAAGAAAGTTGGAAAGTGTACATTAAAAGTTTTGATATAAATAATATTTCTAAGATGTGTAATTAAAATTAAATGAAGAGTTTATATTTGAGAATTTGGTTATCAAGCTGACTGGAGTTTAAGTTGCATTTAAAAGCATTGCTTCAGAATGGTTTATGTAGTTATCTTCCCTTTACTCCATGTGTTAACACAATATGTATCTGAGCAAGTACTTGCACTCATTAAAGCATCATGTAAGCTGTAATGCAAGCAGAAGATGATCATCTGAGAGAAGATGGCACTTACTGTGTGTTAAATACACAGAGAGCAAGAGGTATAGCATAAAGGCAAGGCTAATTAATTAATTACCTTACCTGAAGAGGCTTCTACTGGTAAATATATGATGCCGTGAATATAATTAATAGTGTCTCAAATCCCATATACTCAGCAGTTCATGGAAGTTGTAGGGTTCCGCAAAATGTGTGCAATCTTGCTTCTGTGTGTGTCTGCAAATTCTGCTTAATTATCCGTGGTCCTGGTCAGGCACTTCTCCAAAACAGTATAGGCAACTTGTCTTAGCTAGTTTGTAACCTACAATTTGAGGCTGTGGGCATAGATGAGATTACATATAAATGTATTAATGTGCTGTGAGCCAGTAGGCTGGTTTGCAAACTTTTCTAATGCTCATTTAAGAGAAATTAGCATATGTGCTGCTGATGAACAGTGGTGAACCTCTTGAGTTGTCAGAGAAATGCTAACAGCAGCTTGTTATGCCAGAGGGCAGTCATTTGGAAGTGGGGTGTTTGCCAGATGATCACACCTGTGGCAGTCTTCTATGGAAGAGAACATACACTTGCAGACAAGCTAGACAGGAAAAAAGCCTCAGTGCAATGAATGTTCAAGCCTTGTGCAACAAATCAGCGCTTCTCATGGAGGGACAGCTGCATGCAGACCTCTGCTCCATAACAGAACAATTGTGTTCATGCTCTTGGCTGTCTGGTGCCTGCCATCTTGTGTAAGGGAAGTAAATGCATTCGATATATTCACAGTGCGATTTTAAAAAGTCAAACAAGATAAAGCCTGTATTCTCCCAACAGCCTGAAACTTCCACATTTTATTTCAGGGACTCACTAAGCCTAATGGCAAAACCATCTCCTCTAAATGCTCTGTCAATAGCAACATAAAATGTAATTCCCACATGTTACTTGTATGAATTATATCCTCATCATCGCTAATGGAAAGCTATTCACATGAGAAGTAATTACGAGATGCAAACCCTTTGATTAGGGAATGTATTAAAGTCAAATGGAAGATTTTCTGTGCTATACCAAGAAGCATATCAAGCATGCTACTACCTGCCAAATATTTATGCCATCAGCTGTAACTTCAGGCAATATTTATAAACATACATTCCATATTTGTGGATAGTATTGCTGAGATTTTGTTGAACAACTTTCTTTTACATTAAAACGCAGGCACTATTTTTTATGCATTTTCAGTATAGCTTGTAGTCTGTATCATACAAGTTGCCTTACATGAGGCAAACATTTCAAAGCTGGGAAACTGTAAAAGAATTCCTAAAAGTAACATTGTTAAGTATAAGAACTTTTTGTTCTGAATGAAAGATCTCAATGTCACAAAATTCTATCCAATCTGTTTTTCATGGGCATCCCATCTCTGTTAAATGGATATTTGGCTCCTGTTCCATGGAGTGTAAGCTTAATATCCAGTACATCCTTTCTGAGGGAACTGTAGCATGCCTTTACAAGAGGATGAGCTCAATAATTTGTTAGTTCTTTTTTATCTCTATGATGATCCTGCTTAGAAACAGATGACAGTTTCCATTCTGTAGCACCTAGTATGTAGGGAAATCCACTGTAATTAAATCTTATAAAATCCTCTTACTCCCAGTATAAATAATTCTCTGACACAGGCAATTCCCCCGAATCTACATCATAGCCCTAGGAAAACAAAGAGCAAGAGCAGTTACTTACTTACTTTTAAATATTTGATCATTTTGAACAAACTTCTGCTCTGATTACAGTGGCTGCAAGCCTTACTGAAATTATTTTTGAGGCAGAATCTGCATTACTGATTTTTCTCACATTTAACATTACTTTTAATGATGACTAGCATGCATCTTAAGATATGTAAACAGCAAGACAATAGTCTGAATTGTTCTACAATGTGTAATGTTCTTTCTTGTTTTGTACTAGAAACAAAACCACGTAAATCCTGCTTGACAGGATTTGAGATTTAAAGTGTGCTGGCAAAAGATCTATATGCCTTGTTAAGTGAATTTACCAAAAACAAAGGATCCTCTTAGTTTATAAATATGAATTATAGCAATATCGTTAATATTTGCAGAGATACAATTCTAATCCCAAGAGCATTGCAACTTTTTATCCCCATTTAGGGTTTGTGATAATGGAGTGCACAGGTAAAAACTCTTGTCCAGCAGTACGAGGCAAGAGAGCTTTGAGTATATACCCCGTCCTTTGACCTACTTGCTGGATGATGCTGCCTTCCTTCTATGCAAGAACTTTGAAACTACACCACCACAGAGCACTGTGCTATCTTTCTACAGCATTTGCTACCTTTCTGTATATGTTTAAAGACCTATTTTATTTAGTCTTTCATTTAGACTCTTGTCTTTTGAGTGGACCTGGGACCTGTGCTTGAGCTAGCTTGTCTGATAGATGGACTTTGGACCAACAGTGTAGTTTGTGTCCAGCCCTATTTCCTCTAGCTCCTGATCAGATTCCCTGGATGGTCCCTGTGCCTGATTTGTCTTCCACCATGTCTGGGATAACTGATGGACCTTGTCACAAGCACGCAGCTCTGCTTGCCATGTTCAGATGTGGTGGGGTTGTGTGCTGGTTGGTGAAGGCACTGCCTGTGCTGGGCTTGCCTGGGGCTCACCCCTCCTTGGAGCAGCTAGCCCTCTGAACTTTGACATGTCTAACTGGCCTATGATCTGGAACACCCATTGAAAACGGACCATGGCATCCAGGTATCAAACTGTCTTGTTTCTGCTGCTCCTGACATATTTACAATGAAAACACCATGTATTTCACTTAAAAAAAATCATGTAATTCTGTGTTGTTAGAGTCTAAAATCTGTATCAGAAAAGGCAAAGCCATAAATGTCATATTTGGTGGGAAAATATTTTGCATAGCGTTGCCTAGTTTTCTCTGAGATTTCGTTTGTCTTTCTGAACTTCTGGCATTCTCTTCATAGCCTGGGTTCTTGTAGAATACTTTCTATATAGTAGAATACTTTTCAAACTGGAAAAGAAATCTCCTCCCCCTTAATTACACTGCAACTGAAAAAGCTAGATTGATTAAAAATGTTGAAAAACCCACAGCATCCTTATCTTCAGACAGAGCTCAAATATAGAATAAATTAATAGTTTAGTAGAATATGAGAATTTCCCATTTAGATGTATTTCACCAGTGAAATTTGCATGTATTTATGTAGGCATTAAAAAAGGAAATCAGTGTGGGAAATGTGTTTTCAGCTAATTGCTGGATCCATTTTATCCAAAGATACAAATCAAGTTTTTCTGAGGATTTGTTTTCAAATGAAACTTCAAATACTTCGTAAGAACATGTAAAAAAACCCAACCTTTTTATTTTTGTTGAATTGTTTTTCAGAAGATCAAATTACCAAGTTTTAAATTTAGTTACAGAACTGAGTTATGGATACTTCTTAATCATTTAATAAGACATACAATAAATGTTTTATAGCCATTTCAGCAAAAAGGTTGGGAAATTACTCATACATCACTTCTGCAGTTTACTGTTAGCATACTTTTAAGAGATCTCAGGGTAGCCCTGGCAGTAGCCTTTTAGAGGAGTGTAACAAAGCCAACCTCATAACTATCCAAACAGAATGAAAATCAAATATATCATTGGGGTTTCTAGACAAGGAGGAAAAATTCCTAAATTAAAAGTACTTCCATGGAATCTGTCCCTCTAAGTAAGCTGTTTATCCCTATTTATAAGAGGATTTGTTGATCTAAAGAAGGCACCAGGACAGAGAATTCCAAACCAGTCTCCATGCAGGCTGAGGTAGGGTATGGTAATGAAACAGCAGTCTTGTGTGTTATGTATGTGTCAGAATGTGAATGTTCATGAAACAGAAGGTATTTAATGTGGAAAAATGAAGTTCTTTATTGATTTTCCACAGTGTCTGCCTTTCTTCCTGTATGTGTTGCATCAATAAAGCTGTTACAAGAAGTGGAGTAGACTCTGCTGTGTACTTGGATAAGTAATGCATTGTGGCAGGTGTCAAATTATTTCTGTTATAATTAAAGCTTTTACTTTCTTGCTCTAAGACTATGTAACTATGGGAAAGTCATCTCATTTGGGTGTGCCTCTTTTCCTTCCCAACCTGTTGCCTTCTTTGCTTCTCTGTGTCAAAAACAAAACAAAACAAAAAACCCTGCTTAAGCTATCACCTGTTTTATACCTTGGAGAATTAGGAATTTTAGGTGACAGTGAAATACTTTAATCTGTCTATTACACTGACAGGGTGACTTGCTATTTTACCTCTGATGTTGTTAATACCTCTGATGTTGTTAAGATAACCTGTATCATTTCCTCTTAAAGTCATCATTCTCCACCATCAGTTTTGCGGTATTTATCCAAGCCACCTGTATGTATACCTATATTATGAACATCTCCATCAGTCCTCGCACTTTCTTCACGTACTAACAGTCTAGCTATAAGATTGAAACTTTTATTATTGCTATTCCCCAAATTGATTCAGCTGCATTTTTTAAGGAGAAAACACAAAGGCTTTTTTTTCTCTTGGTGTTTTATTACTTGTTACTATGTGACAAAACAGATTCATGATGGAGCAGACAGGCAGCATTTAGCAGAAAAACACTTCCTAGTTTTGCCTTTTTATGCCCTGGTGAATAAAAAGCTTCTTTCCCTCAAACTGTTTCTGATGGATTAACTCCACAGTGAAGATAAGTTTAGAACCTGCTAGGATCTTGTCTGGCCTAAGGGCAAATGAACAGCTGACAGAACTAGAGTTGCACTCTTCAGCTCCTTCCTATCAACTTACAAATAGAAAGGGCTGAGGAAGGTCTTGACAGTAGGGGTTTACAGCTCTTCTGTTTCACCACTCCTTGGCACATTGATTTCAGTATGATACTCAGAGGAGTCTCCTGAAGGCATCCATGGTATAGGGGTTCTGTTGAAGGAGGGTCTGCTGCTGAAATTTTGATTATATATCATGAGAGATTCTGGAAGCAAAGGGCAAATATCAAACTGAGGCACTTTGAAGGTCATCCGTTTGGCTGCTTTCTCAAAACCCCCATAAGGCATGGCAGTCCTGGCATGGGGAATACATGGAGTTAGTGAACACAGCATAGGTAAATGACAGGATTTAGAAAATTGTTAAACAAGGTTATGGAGATTGTAAATCTTACTGCTGTTGCAGTTGACTAGCCAACAAATCCTTCCTTGAGAACATATATGCATCCATTGCCTATGTACTAAAAAAACCAAACCACCACGTCTCTGCTCCTGTGTACTTCCTTCACTCCTGTTGCATCGATCTCTGATAAATCATACACTTTTCATACCTGATGGTACCCCATACATATAGGAGGCAGAGGCTGCATTATTGCAGAAATTAGTGGGATTTGTGTTTGTCTTGGGTATTGATGTCCTGAGGCTATGGAAGTGGGTAGCAAAATTATATACAGAGGTTAACAGAATACTGTTGCTGCCCTAGAAATATTTGTAAAACTCTCAGTTCTTATCAGAAACAGCAGGAAATTCTGATTCTTATCTGGAGTGCTGTGAAATATATGTCATCTGATCATAAGTATTTTTCTTGAACTTTGCATAGCTGCAGTAATAAACAGTGGCAAGCTAAATCACCCTGGTCAGATGGGGTGAGAAAGGAAGGGAAATAGGATTAAAATCCTCTTATGCAGCTGTATAGGCTTTCAGTCCATAAACTTAATTAAAATCTAGCTCTAGCTTTTTATGTATCTTCTCTTTGTAGGCCTCTAGATGTTTCATCCATGGAAGACTGTGCTAAGCAGGTGACATGTAGCTAAACCTTATTTACTTTGCAGGAGATGGGACGGCTATGGCCAGGGTTATTGTGTTTTCTCATGCTAAATAAACTGATCTGAATAACAAAGAAGACTTACCTGTTAAAAGACTTGTAATGGGGGAAATCAGCTTTGGGACTGTATGACAGTAAGTCAATGGTGAACTGACTTTTGTCCTCTGGGCTGATACCCATTGCTCGTTCCCAGGGAGAGATATAAGTTTTAAATACAGTGATTTTTTTGCCTCCTGACTTCCCATCTGTAAACAGAGGAAGGTAATACACTCTTGTTAGATGATGCTCAAAATACCTTGCTTTTTTTGAGTTCTGCTGCTGAAGTTAAGACACCAGCTTTATTTCCAGATTCTGAAACTCCTAGATCAAGTCCGAGAAGTTATGGTTAGATTTCTTTTAAAACAGACTGGCATACACCCCTTCTGACCTTATCCACGAAAGCAGGTGTGCCACTGTCTAAAAGCCACTCATCCAGGAATTTACATTAAAGCATATATTTGAAAGCTGATTTTTCATTCTTCTCCCTGGTCACTCAAATAAAAACCTCTTACCCTAAGAACCAGTATCCCTACCCTGTCACCTCTTTCACTACCTCAGGTGAAGCTTTATACAAGGCAAAATGCTATATAATTTCATAATTTATTTATTTCTTCTCTGTCTGATCATAGCAGATAAAACCCCTACAGATCAACTTCACCATCATCATCAGATGCATCAAACAAAGCCCTGAGTATAAACTCCAAAACTAGACTTAAACTTCTAAGTTGACTCAAACTGACCAAAACACTTTAACCATCATGTTTCAGGCTCCGTATTGGTTTTGGCTAGAACAGAGTTAATTTTCTTCACAGCAGCTAGTATGGGTCTATGTTTTGGATTTGTGCTGAAAATAGTGTTGATAATTCAGGGAAGTTTTAGTTGTTGCTGAATGGTACTCACAGACTCAGGGCTTTTTCTGCTTCTCACCACCCCACCAGCGAGCAAGCTGGGAGTTGTGAGGGGACACAACCAGAACAGCTGACTCCCCCTGACCAAAGGGATATTCTGTACCTTATGGCATCATGGTCAGCATATAAAGCTGGGGGAAGAAGAAGGAAAGGTGGGATGTTGGGAGTGATGACATTTGTCTTCTGAAGTAACCCTTACGCATGATGGAGCCCTGCTTTCCTGGGGATGACTGAACACCTGCCAATGGGAAGTGGTGCGTGAATTCGTTTTGCTTTGCTTTGTGTGACTTTTGCTTTACCTATTAAACTGTCTTTGTCTCAACCCATGAGTTTTCTCACTTTGTCTTCCAATTCTCTCTCCCTTCCCACCAGGTAGGGGGGAGTCAGCATGGTGCTTAGTTGCCAGCTGGGCTTAAGCTGTGAAAGGATCTTGGCAACTCACAACCATCTTTACCAATGCCTTCATGATTCGTTCTTGAATGTTCTAAAATTATCATCTCCCTTGCTTCATTATTTTTATAAATTGTAATTTCCTTTGTGATTACATGAACAGACATTCATATTTTCCCTCTCCTGAAACAATGTTAGAGGCAAATCTGGCTCAAACACCTCAGAATGTCTAAAAGCAGTTGGAAAATACAACAGGCGCTCTCTCTGGAAGTTTAAATCCTGTCAATGAAAGAGCTACACTTTGCTGTTCAGTCACATGTTTCTGGCTGCTTCACTAAGCAAATGAGCTTAGACAAAAGTTTTCATTCTGTGTGCCTCTTTTATTTTTCCCTCCCTTCCAATTCTGTATAATACCCCCTTGCTAATAAGAGCATTGGTTGTGTATTGATATATAGCATGTTTTAAAGATACTCATCCTTCATAAACCTTAGAACTCCTGAGCAGTAACTTCTGCTTAGCTTGGTTAGGGCAGATACGAATAATAGGTTAGTGGAATCAGACATTCTGGTGCTTTCATGGTGCTACAGTTTGTGTTGGAAACATCCTTATGAAGTAAGTGGCAAAGAATGAGTATTACTACTCTTAACTGAAATTTTCTTACTTATCACAGCTTCTTTCTTTGTCTTGCTTATTTTATTCAAACCTTGCCAAATCCTGGGCTTTGGTTTCAGAGAATTGCAGACGTGTACAACAATCTTATTTTCATTAAAAAATAAAGCCAACTATCTGCTTCTTTCTGTGTGAAGGACTGAAACCAAGTAGTCTAGAAGTAAATTGATTGCTAGGTTTGAAAAATAAAGGCAGTTGTGATCCATTTTTGCAGTGAAAACTACGGGATGATATTAATCCTCCCTCTCCCTGCACAAAGAAATAGGATAGCAATGGAGAAAATTCTCCTGTAACAAGGCATATACTCTACACAGTTTTCTTTTCCACAGAGATGGTCAGAAATGTAAAAGCAGATTTTGATACAAAGTGCGCATGCTTCCAGAATGTAAATGAGCTACCTTGGATTTTACAAGTCACTCATTTGGTCACTTACGACAGTGATTCCTGGTTCCCAAGCAAATTTACTTTTTGTTGTAAAATCCCATAGGGACTGCTAAAATAATAATTTCATCTGCTGATTCTCATACAAGACGAAAATCAATGAAAAATACTTTTACTAGTAAAGATGCTGCTTCAGTAGACCAGTGGTGATTACCAGGTAACTTTTACAAATACGCGGTTCCTTTCTGAAGGTTATCGAGAAAGTGCTGCTCATTTAGATGGAAACTTTTATTTGAAATCAGGACTCATATATTCAAAACTGATGTGTCAGGTCAGACTACTGAGCAAAAGAACTCCAGTGATGGTCAGTGTGAAACCCTTGGAAGAGTATGAAATACTGGCTCTATCAACCTTAGGAGCTCACGTAGTAGTTAACGCTTTCTATAATTTCTTTGGTCCAGCCAAGGAAGGTATTTCTGCTTCTTGCATATGATTAAGCAACACAGAAGCATGCAAACAAAACTGTCAAGCTGAGGGCAGTTCAACTTTTCTAGATTTTGCAATGGAACTTAGTTTGGAACAATTCACATTTTAGACAAATTTATCTACTTGTCCCTAGGAGTAGGGTTGGCATGAGCTCTCACAGCTTTAGCTATTTCTTAGTCCTGCAGAGAAACACTTGCCTTTCTCAGTGCCATCACCTCCTTCTCCACCACTTCCAGCTGATTCCCCAGCATGCTCCCCTTTGCTGTCCCTAGGGCCTCCTTTGCTTCCAGGCCTAGAAGGAGCACCAGGATACTGCTGCTTATTGGAGCCATGCTGCCCATGCTGTCCAGCTGTCACTCCTCCTACCATCCTGCCATGGGCATAGCCTTGAGCATCTTCACTGTAATGCCCTCCTGGTGTGATGAACTTCTGAAAGTGATCCTAGGGCAAGACAAAAGAACAATAACAATCCCTGTTACAGGACATGGTCCATTTACATTTCAGAACGTGAACCCCTGAGTCTCTGTAATCTGACCAGTTTTGTGTCTCAGTTACAAAACCCTATGGCAGAACTTTATGTGAGTTATTGTTTATATTACATATAGAAGCAGTTGTTGAACAGTAAGTTGTTGAACAGTAGTAAGGACAAAAGAAACACACCTTTTAATGGATGACTCACAATCATTTCATCGGGGTGAGAAGAGAGCAATCTGTGTTTTGTCTCCAGCAGTGATCAGTATGAAATACAGGAGGAAGGGAATGGAAATGCAGCTTTTACCAGTGCAGGTAAAGGTCCAGAGAGATACTTCCTACATAGGAAGTGTTTTCATGTCAAGATTAAGATAGCCCAGCAAAGTCAGTGTGATTATAGTGTGGGAGCTAAGTGTTACAGGGCAGAAGAACAACAGGGTACCTGTGACAAAATAAAAGCCTGAAAGATGACTACCCACGTGTCTATTTTCCATATGAAGGAAGGTCTGCATGGGGCAGGATATTTACATCTGCGGGATTGAAGTGATAGCAGCCTGGAAAAACATGAAAGATATTCTGGGCCCAAGAGGAAAATGACAAGAAGAGTATTGCATGTAGTAATGAAGCAAATCTAACCAGCAACAGGGTAAGAAAGCAGACTGTTTCCATCAGTAAAAGCAAGTTGGTCTTATTTGCCAGGCCATCCTCTCTGCGAAGTCCAGGCTAGAATCTGCACAATCCCTGTAGTACATAGTGAAAGAGCAAACAGTCAGTGCAGGGTTTATACACCCATTGGTGCCAGCACAAAGTCCTGGTTTTGCTCACCAATTTTAATAAATATTTGTGGGGAACAGGAACTGATACAGTATGTTCAGAAAAATACTTTATGTATTGTTCATAAACAAGATCAAAGCTTGACTCCTATCAGATATAAAAAAGTATCTCTTACGTATGTATTACAGCCCACATGGATGTATAATAAAAGTAACCTGGGTTATGCATCACATATGGTTTTTCCTGTTGGACTAAGGGACTGGCTGGAGATGCACAAAGATGCAACAAATATACAGATGAAGTGAATGAATCTGTGGTTCCTTGTGCTGTGTTTCTGCTTGAATAAATTAATCTCAGGCAGTTAATGGCAGACAAGAGTGCCAACCTCAGGCCTGGCTCTCAGACGGTTAAAGCTTTCTCAGGACTATTACACCTAGTGCAGTTTAGCATAAAAGAAGCTTTCCAGGCTGTAAACAGGCTTCCAAGGCCAGCTGTTCGGTCATCTAAAAATAGATGAGAAGTGAAAACCCCACAAGGCTCAAGGCAGAATTATTTACCCTGAGTTCCCTGTGTCTCCAGCAGCAGTGTCCAGGGTTTCACAGCAGGTCACCGGGCTGCAACCCAGGCAGGCAGCCAGCTGCAGGCTGAAGTGGCAGAGCTGGTGCCCCCAGGGCTTTTAAGGACTGTCTCTCCTCCTATCTGTAGGGAATTCCCTTTTTAGGAACAGAGGGATAATGTTCCCCTGAATGTCAGGAAGCACTGAGAGGGGAGAGATTGTGAGCATTAAGCTGTACACAGGAGCTAGTAGGGCAATCTGTTCAGTTATGCATGAGAGCTACGTAGCTGTAAGAAGGCAAACTGAAAGAAGCGTATTTTGAGGTCTAGAGGTCAAAATGAGGTTATTCTCAAAATGTTAATATGTATCCAAGGGTAATGCTACTACTCATTTGCTCAGTAATGTCAAAACAGGATTTGCATCTGTTTTTTTTTTAAAGTTTCACCCATGCTGTGTGCCCTTCCAGATAATTAAATGCTTATTTATCTTTTCCTCTGGTTACTTATATGCACTCTCCTGGAAAAAAAAAAAGTCACAAAACATCGGCATAACATGCGATACGGTAAAAAGGGCTGGTTTAATTTTGTGCATAGCAGTATTTGATTTGACCAAGAAGGAGCATCATTGTCACCTGGTGTTATTTAAAATTGCAGTATTATCACTAAAGAGGAGTGAATTTTCTGTGAAGCACAAGGTTTGCCTCAGGTAAGCCACACCTAAATCTTACTTAGTTGTAAATGAAATTAATTTGATTGGTCTCAGGATTCTTCATGGACCTCCTGAGAAAACATCCTATGTTCAGCAGACATCTCCATTTAGATAGGAAAGACCCATTTTCTATGTAATAACCCACTCTATCCCCTTGCTAGAATAAAAATATATTTTTCTTTAGCTTTGGCCTCCACAATAGATTGTCTTCGCTCAGAGGATTAGCAGAGGACAAAGGCAAATAAATCTTTTTGAAATCTTGAAATCTTGAACTTTGGCTGATTCAAACGAGCTCATTCCAACAGAGGAGAGCTCAGGAGCAGCAGCCTCAAGCAGGAGTCTCAATATAAGCAAAGCTGAGTAGGTGCAGCTCTGTCCTCAATACTTACATCATGCCTCTGCTCAGGGTATTGACAGTGAAACAGGGCTTACACGAGAGGGGAATGTGTGTCTTGAGCCATAGTTAACAGTATACGGAGCTTTTATGTATATGGTTATTTACATCACAAAACCAACCTCTCAGTTAGGGTTGATTGACCCTGTTGGTAGGAGTCCCAGGAGAGAAACCTAGGAGTGTGTGTGTAAACCACCACAGAGTGTCAGCTGAGAAGGCTAATAACCTTCTCTAGTTGGCGCTGGGGCAGATCACACAGTTCCTTCCTGGTATAGTCTGCCCTGTCTGCATGTTACTGGAGGCAGGGGATGTTATCCAGTCCCTGGGTGTCCCTATATCCACTTTAACAAGGGAACAAATGTAGTAAGTTCGTGTGATGTTCCCTGGGTTGGCTAAACAAATTAGGCTCATGTCTTTAAAGTCTTTAGTGACAGCAAGAGCCTGATCCTGCAGGCTGAGTGCCCAGATAGATGAATTCTGAATTCTCTGGAGCTACTGCATGTGCCTCATGAAAAATAGATAATGAAAGATGATCCAACTAATGGAGCTGAGATCTCTAAGCATCTCAAGGCCCTGACGTCACTGCAAGGCAGTCCCCAGGAGGAGACACTGTGTGCTTCCCATCAGCTCCTTGCTGTGCCCTAAAGAGAATGATTGAGGCCACCAAATGTGTTTCTATTTCCACCTCACTGATGAAGAGCTTCCCAAAGTTTTGATGCCTATGTGGTTACTAACACTTCTGAAGTTACTGTGACTGAATCTTCTCAGTGTCAGCCACTCAAATGCTCCTTAACAGTGGGATGGGAGATTTAAAATTCAGACACTTGGAGAGTCTCAGAGACTCCCTACTGTTTTTATCAAAGTCTGTGCCTTGGTCCTGGAAACCTATGATTGACTTTATAAAAAAAAAGAAAAGAAAAGAAAAGAAAAAAGGAAAAGAAAGGAAAAGAAAAGAAAAGAAAAGAAAAGAAAAAAGAAAAGAAAAGAAAAGAAAAGAAAAGAAAAGAAAAGAAAAGAAAAGAAAAGAAAAGAAAAGAAAAAAAAAAAAAAAAAAAAAAAAAAGAAAAGAAAAAACGAAAAGAAAAGAAAAGAAAAAAGAAAAAAGAAAAGAAGTAACCTCAGCTGTATCTTAAGTTTTTTGGTTTTTTTTAAGCATGCTGCCCTGAGAGGCACAACAAGTCGAGCTCTTGCTTTCTGTTTCCAGGTCTACTTCTGACTTTAATTTTGGGCAAATTATTTCTTCATCTCTATGCCTGAATTCACCCATCTAAATAATAGGAATTTTTATCTAATACTGCCCAAATCATTTATATCTTATTTGTATATTTTATATCATCCTTGTGGCATTTTCTTTGTGGATGAAAGAAATTGAGTTTCAGAACTTCAGTCAGCAGTTTTCTCACATTGCTCTAGGAAACAGCTATGGAAAATAAAAGGCTCTTCCTCTCTGTCATTTTGCTATTTCCACACCGGTCATTTTTTGAGTAAAAAGGCATCAGACTTAATGTTCACACTTACATGGCTTTGAGTGTAGTTGGGGCCTCTAGGTCTTCTGCATTAATCCATCTGCAGCACAGCAAGTCTCATTTTGTTAGAAAAGTTACATCTCAGCTGGCTCACTCCACCTAGGTCATAACTGAGACCCTCTCATAGCTTAGGGTAATAATGAGTGGGGCTGTAAAGCTGGGAAAAATAGTTTCACATGATCTTGATGTGTTTGAAGCCAGATAAATTTAACATGAAGTGGGGAAAAGGTCTGTGAACTGCTGATCTGTTAATTGCTGAACTGTGAAGTAGGATTTAGGAGACCAGGAAATAAGACTGAGACCCTCTTTACGATTTTGAGTGATTCGTTAGTCTACCCCATGCTTCAGTTTCAGTGTTAAAAAATTAATGTAGCAATTTCCTTCATGCTATAGTTGGTCAGATGCTACAGCAATAGAGCACATAGCAAGGTAGGATTTCATCATGGCCTTTAGCCAGTAGTAAGTTGCACCTTGCAGCTCCACAGTGAGGTTGACAGTATCCTCTGAGACATGGAGAGAACTACAGTTCCTATGACACATTGGCACAGCATGGGGTGAGGAGAAGAAATCCTTCTCATTTATTAGACAGGGCTCAGCAGAGCCCAGCTTCTCCAGCCCAGCAGCAAACAATGAGGGTGTCACATGAACACTCCCTGTTTGGCAGGGTATCAGTGTGCTAGAAGTGTCAATCTGAGTCTTCCCAAAAAACATCCCCTTGTATTGTGTATTTGCAAGAGAAGAGGGTCACAGCACTGAACACAGCTGTACAGTACATAGTGCATTTCACTTTGCTCATGTTGGGAATGGTCAGTCCTTTTGTCTGTGTGTTTAGCTACAGTTTGCCTTTATGGATGGAGCTGCGCTAGTGAAAGACTGGCAGGTTTTCACTTTTGCATGGAGCTGGTCTGGCGCTCATGCACACACAACATACGTGTTTTCTCTGCCAAAAGTAAAGAGAATGATCTGATTGTCGAGTGTGGCTCTTTGGCTGGAGGAGAAGGAGGAGGAGAGAAGCAGGAGGGTGGATCAATGACACATGACTGCTGAGATCTTCTCCCTTGTGTGGAAGGTTTATAGCTATGGCACTGGCTATTCTGGAACCCCTTATATGGTTTTGATTTATTTTCAATAACGTTTCTCTCTGTGTATTTTTATATTACATTACCTTGCTGTAAAAACTTTTTTTTTTTTTTTTTTGAGGGAAAAACCCCAGCCGGTTTTAACCCCAGACCTTTCCTGTTCTGTTTTGCTAAGTGTGTCTGAGAATGTTTTAAGACAGTTAAAAATTTATGCTATAAAAGCAGTAAACACACCACCAGCTTTAAATCCCTTCCCTGTACCACAGCTGTAAAGGCACAAAGACTTCTTTAGGAGCAAAGGATGTGAAAATTAACTGGGAGGGGGAAGTAACTGGAAGTAGTACTAGAAGTTCTTTGCCATTATCTTCCTCCTACAGTTTCCTTTTGTTTAAGCTTTCTTTTCTGCATCTGCCTTTGAGCAGAGCCAGGAACAAGAAAGGAAGTGAACAGAAAGCTAATCAAACATTGCAATCGAAAGGGCTTTTAGATGAAAGTTATCTGGTGCTAAGGTCAGGCATTGTCCTGGTGGTTTGGAAGATAGCAGTGAGGCTACAGATGTTGCCTTTACCTGCCCAAGAGCAACCAGCTCTCAGAGAGGATGGCTCAGTTGCTGCAGTCACTCAGCTTTTCTTCTCACTGCTCTGACTGCCAGCAAAGATGCTAATTCATGCTGGCTGTGATGATGACAATAGTTGTCCATGGCGGCAGTGGATGCAGCCTGGCAGAGTCCTCCCACAGAGCACACTGGGCAGCTAGCAAATGGTGACAATTATGTTTGTGAACCTCCTAAGCTGGTCCTGTGCACAGGCTGTAGGGCAGACCAAAGTCTTCTGAAATGACCAATGGAGATTTGTTATCTGTATCGTAAATGTGGAGAAAAGGTAGCCATGAAAATGAATCATTGAGGGTTTTAAAACAGATTATCAGCTGCTGTCTGGAGACCATGCCTTTGTTCTCATATAGCAAAGCCATAAAGAAAATCCTAGGCTTGTTAGACTTTTGTCTAAAACACCCAAATATTTATCCACAGCACAGGATCTTACCGTCTTGCTCAAAGAGCCTGGGAGCAGAGGTGCTCTTACAGAACAAAGGGAGAGATTGACAACAGAAAGGGTATGGAGTGAAAGTCAGGCATAGGTGAACAAACAAAGCAGGAAAAACAGCTAACAAAAATTAAGCATTTGTCATCAGCCTTTGCAATGTCAGCCTTGGCAGGACCCTGTGCACGTCCAGTTTTGAGTCAGTTTGTCACAGCTCATTCACTTTGTATTGCTCTGATTGGACACCCTTAAATGACACCCTCAAATGTTTGAAACTTTGGAGTTTTTCTTCTCTCACCTTATTGTTTAGAATTAGAGACTCATAGAATCAACTAGGTTGGAAAAGACCTTTGTCTCACTCTTCCTCCCTGCAGCAGATTCTAACATGAACTTGGCTCTCATATGTTTTAGGAGATCTGAGATTGCTGGGTATTTATAAAAGTAATGTATTTTTCTAGGATTTTTGTCTGAAGAGTTGAGAGTTCAAAACATGATTCATTCTCACATCCTTTCAAGGAGTTATCTCACTGAAGAGATGAAGTACCTAAAGCACGAAGAGATGAAGTACCTAAAGCACAAAGAGATGAAGAAACTGCCCGAAGTCTAACAACACCGGATATGCTTGCTGTATCTCTGGTGTGTCATCCCTGATCTGTAAGCTGACCTACTGTTGTGATTTTAATCACATTTTGTCTTTCAGGCATCTTTCCACTTCCTGCTTCCCAAACTGTCATTTTTAGAAGTGAACTACAAAGATCTACTTATTGCTGCTTTTAAAAACATAAAAACCCCTGAAAAATAGGAGTAAAACATAGCATGTTTTTGTTTGGCAGAACATTTTCTTCAGCTTGACTTTTACTATTTTGCTTGAGTATCCTTAGACTGGAAAATAGATGCCGTAAAGGAGCAAAATGATACCAAATAAATTTAAAAAAACATCAGAAGATGAGATGCTACATCAAAATGCATATATAGCCTGAAACATTTTCTATTTTTTTTCACTGAACTTCTGCCAATCAAGTAAAAGGAGAGTTGTATTTGTAAAAGGTTAAGTATCTTCAGAGGACTTTACACCAGCAACAAGCTGTATGGAGAAGTTCAAAGCTTAAATAACAGTACTAACTCATGGGAAAGGGGGCAGGGAGGAAAGAATGTCTGAATTTATCCACCATATCTGATAGGAAAATACTTTAGAAGAAAACAAAATACTTTAGAAGAAAACAAACATAGCTTCTATCAAATAAACTGAAGACACTGCAGTATCAGGTTAGAGGTTTCTGTCTGAATTTTCATTTATGGAACTTCCTGCAGAAATGAGCAAAGGACTCTGCCCAGCAGGAAGCATAAAAGTGTATCATAGGCTAAAAATAGAACCACGACTATGGGAGCTAGAGTTAGACCTGGATGGATCATTTCCATATTGCAAAGAAGAAATGGAATAGGTACAGAAACAATTAGTCCTGCCCTGTGCAGCTCTGAACACCTGCCAAACATGCAGTCCGCCTTTGTCACTCAGTTCTGAATTTTTTCATGCTTCTGTATGTCTGATACCAAGTATTTGCCGAAGGAAACTAATGCTGCTGCCAAAAGGAAATATGATTGTGTGTTTATATAATTTTGGCTTTTTCCTGCACTAGATATCCCTTCCCCATGCTCCTCCCTACACCCCCGCTCATGCACATTCAGACAGACGAGCTTGGGCACACTCCATTCCTGTTTCCCCTGGGTGTATGGGGCAGCTTTTTAATTTTATCCTCAACTTACCACAGAATTGTCAGTGAAGGCATCAGGGTTATTCTCATAAATGAACTTCTCCACCCTCAGCTGACGTAATTTGAACATCTTGGATCCTTTGTTAGTGAGGAGAGAAAGCTCTTCTAGCATCACATCTCTGGGGATGCTGATCTTCTTCCCCAGGTTCAGCTTAGACACCTCTTGTGGCATGACTACAAAATATGGAATGGGATGCTTTAGGAAGTGCTCTGGTCCACGTCTCTTGTGCATTGCTTCCCAGCATCAGTACTGACTTCAAAGCGGACAAATTAGAATTATCTTCTAAATTAAGTTTTAGGAAATAACATATGCACCAAATTTTTACCTTGATGTCACATATATGTAGCATGGGTATAGATGGGTGGAATTTACTCTGGACTGCAGTCAAAGCAAATCTGAACAGAGAAGAGTTGCGTATGGGTGGAGCTAGAGGCATGTGTCCCACATCTGAAGCTCCTCAGTCAGTGCAGCAGGATTCCTTAGAATTATCTCAAAATGCACCACTGTCTTGTCTGGTTGCTTCCTACATGTGCCTCCCCTCATAAGGAATTAGATGAGTAGCAGTCAGTTCCTCAGATTGGGCTGACATATAATAAATGAAGACAACTGTGGTGTGGTTTAAACATTACCCTGAAGCCATGGCAAGATTCAATGTTATTATATCTGTTTGTTTGTTTGAAGGAGAATTTTTAAAGGGAAAAGTAGTTGAAGTTCCCTTCAAGTCTTAATATGCCAGTCGTTCAGTAAGTCCTTTCCATTTAATTTGGTACCACCAATTCACCATCAAAACAACAGATTAAAAAATGTTTAGTGTAAAAATCTTGCAGAAATACAGTTAAAGCTTTTCATTCAGAAACACATAACTTTTACTAGGCTTTCTTTTTTTCTGTATTGCCCAAGGTTAAGACCACTTATCACCCTTGCATCTCATTTACAACAGAGAATGAATCTCCATCCTTAAACTAGTACAATATTGGTATAAGCCCATTCATTTCATTAAACATTCTCTGAAGAAATATTTTTTTTAGGAAGCCAATTTTATATAGCACTATTTCATAGCACATGAGGAAATGCCCTTTAACTGAAAATTGGATTTTCACTTATTTGTTTACCTGAATGAAGAATTAGGGCCAAATAGAAAAATATATTCCTGTACCCTAGCAAATAAGTCTCTACAGCCCTTTTTGAGGGCTGCAGAAAGGAGCAACTTTGAAATGATGCTTTTCAAAACCCCTAAAAATCTTCTCCATGCTGTCAAAAGTAATGAGAAGTTAAGGATATCACAGTTAATTAAAAGTCACCCTACCCGATACACAGGTATTCTGTAGAAAGAAAAGTGTCCCAAGTTATATTCTTCCTATTGTATTACCCCCTCTAAGAAACAGACTTTTTCAACTGGTGAGTGCTGGAAGAATTCTGTCACACAGAGGAAAAATAAATTAGAGACAAAGCTTATAAGAGAGATAATGACATAGAATATAACTAGGCTCTGCAATATTGATTCACATAAAAGATGATGTTCCCTTTCCATTTACACTGGTGTGCCTCCAAATTAATGCTGCAGGAGAATATGAGTTTACAAAGTGTGATGTAGGTCAACATTTAACCTGAGTGTGTGTACAATGCTTTTGAACAGTAAATTTGAAAATGTGATGTGATTGCAGGCTGAACTTCAGTAATATTTGTGGCTCTGTCTCCTGATACGTTCACTGCATGTCTTGCTCTGGGAGCTGAGTCAAACAGTGACATTTTAAAGGCTGAAATTCAGGTTGAAAGCCAGACAATTCTCATGTGTGCAGTTTTGCATGTCTTACCTTCTTGTGTCAGCTTCCCAATGAGTTTAGTGGACTTTTTCCTTTTAACAGGAGCAGGAGTCCCTGCAAGGGGCATTCCCACAAAGGGTTCTCTGCTTTGCTCTAAACACACAAGGAAATGGAGAATGAAACACTGGAAACTTATTTCTTGCCTCTCTTCTAGTTGCCATCCTACAGTTTCGAGATACACAGCCTTCCTTTTATGCACAGGTTCTTTTCTGTCCCTTCCACATGAAGGAGCTAGTGAGTGGTATCATCCTATACAGAATATTAGCAGCCAATTGTGGTGTTCTCTCGGGGGCTTAGCATTATGACACAAAACATGGCAGCAGATCACAGCACAAGCATTGCTTGTGTCATATAGCATTGTAATCCAAAGTAAGCATTTTATCTGCAACATGGCAGTCTCCCAGGCCCACATGTGCCACAGTGGTAGTCTGTTATCATCCTGTGCTGTGCTAAAAGAATGTCAGTTTGAAAATTTGCTTTATCACACCATATTATAATACCATGCAGTTATCATTGCATGGTAATCAATACTTTAGTATAAGGATTTTGAATCTGGCCATGAGTTATTTGGGAGCATTTTGAATAATGTGCAAGTTTGGTTTTGATATTTAGATGGTACTATTAGGATTAATATAGGTATTCATAAAACCACGAGACTGACAGTTCTGAAAACAAAACAACCAAACCCCTAAGTAATTCTGTCTTCTATGGCTGCTACTGTTTTGTTATGCAAGGGCTGGAGGAAGAAGGCACAGGCAAACTTGATAAAGGAAAAGTTTGCCTAATTTGTTTGAAATCACTTGCACCTATATCTTATGTATTGATCATACACGTATCATTTGAAAGGGGGAAGGAGAGAAAAGGGAGATTTCTTCTGGTGCAGTGTTCCCTATCTCTGTCCCCAGATAGAATGAGAGCCCTGTACTGAAAAGTCAGGGAAAACAAGGAGAAATCTCAGCAATTCCACTTGAGGAAGCTTCTCAGGGTCCCGCTTGGAGGGTTATCACACATAATGTAAGCAGGGCAAATGTCTTGCCTTCCCTTCAACATTGTCTATGCCCAAACAGCAACATATAGGGGGCAGATCCTCACCTAACAGAATACAAATGAGAATGATGAAAACCCTTTGGCTTCAGCAATAGCACTAATTAACCATCTCTGTCCTTGTGATTCTTTGCACTTTAGTTTCTTAAACTTGCAGAACTGAAGACACTAAACTATGAATTATATTTTAAAACTAGCAAGCAAACAGTTGGCTCTATGAGTTTGTACATGGTCTTTGTTGTGATCAAGACATTTTTATCTCCTGTGTATTTTGCAGTTTCATTCCACCATTGCTCCTTTTGCAACATGATTTTCATGTGATGAGGTGATGCTAACTGCTAAAAGAAGCCCACGCACAGCAACAGCTCCAATCACATTGACAAATACTCTCTTGAATTAGTTTTTCTTTCAGATTTCCAAGATTTTTTTTGTTTTGTTTTTTTTTTTTCTTTTACAACAAGATGCTGCCTATGTAGTTCACATCATAAAAGAACCCATCCTGGTGTATTCCCAAAGCAAGCATGAGCAGGTGCAGCCATAAAGCACGTGCTGCACATTCTCCTCGAGCAGTCAGACATCTGCTTGGTTATGTAAAAGAAGCAGGCCCTGCTTGACAGGAAAGGGGCAATGCTGCCAGGAGGCAGGGGGGTGGGAGGTTGTGGCCCATCTGATGGGTTGTAAGACTGGCAAAACAGGGAAATAATCTGTATTCCTCAAATGTGGACTCCCTGTGGCAAGGCAGAAAATGCTGGCCCTGGTGGGGAGATGTGCTCCTCTAGAACACTCATTCCCAAGGATCAGCGAGAGCAAGCCTACCCCATTCTGCTGTCCTCCTTCACTAATCCAGCAGGAATGGAAAACCTGCTGCGTGAAGTTAATCTAGCATAAGAAAAGGGGCAGCAGTCTTTCACTATGGACAGGTTCCAGAGCTACACTGGGACTGCTGCTCTTTCAGCCACCCCACCAGAGACTGCTGGAGCCTCAGTCCCCATCCTCCCCAGTATCCCACACATAAAGCCAGGGCCACAGTTATCTTTTTCTCCCCTGAGCTCTACCCTTGATTCAATTCCTCTGCATCAGTCTTTGCAGCAGTGATTTGCTTGGTTTTGCTGCACACCAAACCAGTCTTTACCCTCTCCAACACCTGGTCTAAACTATTTTGCTACCCAGTCAACTCACCTTAGGTTTGCAGTGCCAGGTTCAGGCCAGCTCAAGTGCCTGCCCCAGAGCTTGGCAGTGGGCTGCTTCCTCCTAGCCTGTCTCTGGGTGCTGCTGGGAGGCTTGTCCAGCAGCCCTGCTCACCCAGGGTGCCTGGGTACAGGCAAACTCTGCCCAGCACAAAGTGTTGATGTGAAGTGCTGTGAATTTGACTCCTGAAGGCTGCTTGCACAGGCATCCTGTGGTTATTAATAGCCAATGGCCCAGAGGGAAGAGTCTCAGATAGCACTACTGCCATCCCTGAGGAGAGGGGAAAGGAAAAGGTTCCTCCTCAGCTCTCCTGCAGTCTCTGCTTCAGTTCCCAGAAAGACCAGTCACTCCATAGGTGCCTCACTTCTTCCTCCTCTCTTTTTAAATCAACATGTTGGTCCCCTTCCTCCTTCCATTGCATTTTAATGCAATTTGTAAAACCTTCTCAATATCCTGTTTGTCATTAATGCCTCAAAAGCTCTCTTGGATCTTGTTCTGTTTTATACCCTCCTTCTGCCCCTCCTCACTCCGTCGTTCAACCCAGTGTCTTCAAGACTCTCATGCATAATTTCTAAAATGGCAGGTATTCAGATAATACATCAGAAACCACAGAAGAAAAATAATTGTATGCATGAAGAAAGAAGTAGTAGGAAAACCATAAAGTCTAGAAAGGTATTTACAGAGTTCTAGGAAGTACCTGTATCATGTGTATGGGAAACCCAGCAGAATCAAATAGCAAGGAAACTTAATTTCCTGATTCATGACAGAAATAGAGTTGATTGCCTGCATTTGGTGTATATGCAAATGACCCCCCTTCTTTAGCTCCTGTTCATTATGAGGCAGCTCCTCAGCTTTTTATCTCTGTACCCAGTTGGGTTATGGTTCTAGGATGAAGGGAATGTATCTCATCTTACTGGATTACTGCACATACCTCTCAGCTTCTATGTAAAGTGGAAATCTGACAGAAAACATTACCTTCCTATTTCACATTGAAGCAAAATCAAGCTCCCCTCTGAATAAACCTAGAGTCCAACCCAAAACTGTTGTGATAGTAGTGGAAATTAATTTGCCCAGAGAATTTCAAGCAAAGTTTATGTAAAGGAGTATCAGGAGACAGTCACTTTCCCTTTTTCCTAGGTTTTGCAGTTGGCTTCGTCTGCACCAAATGCATATAAAAATTCCCAGTGTGATAAGTGGGTTTAAAGCACAAAGCATTAGCCCAAACTGTTTGGAAGATTCTTTCTAAGAGTGCTGTATTATACTTATGGGCAATAATCAGCCCCGTAATACACTACTTGGAGTCAGGGCATGTATGGCGAATTCCTGGCCTAAAGTTTCCCGTTTTCTTTTTGCTTCCACCCATATAACCACTATGTGTACTTCATGTTGTGTCTGTAGCACAGCTCTTAACTCTTCCTGATCTATATCTACTGTAACACAGTGATGTAAGATTTCCAGTATCCAAGAGTGCTGCGTCCTTCCCTAAGCCCAGCAGATACACCAGAATGATGTCTGGCCCAGATCCTGCCCCCACAGTCTCATTCTGGTGATCTGGGATAACTCCCTGGAGCTGTGCCAGTGTAAAACAGGTGCAGGGGGATAGGACAATTGAACTGTAAACACCTGCTGCCTGCTCTGGGCACCATCACCAAGCTTCATGCCTGTGAAGGCATTTACATCTGTGCAAAGCTGGATGGTGCCAAAAACTACTATCACAACTGATCATTTGTCCACACTTCACACCAGCCATAGAGGACCAGGTGTCTTGGTGTTGGCCAAGCCCTGCTCATTGCAAGTTTTACAAAGAGGAGTATTTTTTCAGCATATGTATTTCTCTTGGATTCGTTTAGCACCATGGTGGGCATTTGCCCAGAGCGCTCAGTGCCTCCTGTAATGTCCAGTTGTGCTCTTTGAGATGCTGCTTTCCTATTCAAGTTCCCTGCATTCTAAGCCCTCTTTATTAAGGGCACCACTGCCTGTCTCAAGGTGATGGCATGGGGGGGGGGGGACAGACCATAGTGAAAATAGACAGAGTGTGCTGCTATATTGCTTAAAATTGGCAGACCTTTGCTTCTCCTTTCCCAAAGTCATGTGCTATAGTTACCTCTTAATTTTAAGAAGTTTCTAGCTCCATTTTGATAATATTCTAAGAAATTAATATGATTTATATTATGGGGTAGGAAGCTGAGAAATGCAGCTACTGCTATATGTCACCTTCTTGCAGTCACTGGAGTGATGTTGAAATCTACCTCCTCTCTACTTGCTTCCAGCAGCCGTCTGCAGACCAATTTATAGCTGCTGTATTACTTCTGCAGTCATTTTCTCTGCCTTCCTGAGCACAAATTACACTTTAGGGGAACACTTTGCACCAGATGGATATCATATGGAAACCTGCTGGATTTTCAGGCATGGTATATTGCCAAAAGATGATGTAGCAGGGAAGAATGTGGTTGCTTTTCCATGGCATGTGCATCACCTGCTGCTCCTCTGCTTCCTCCCACCTCAGAGGTTCACAGCTTCTCCAGGAGCCAGCTGCAGGGAGAGAGGAGCAAAGCAGGCTGGAAGGGACCCCATGGCTAGCTGGTAATTGGAGGTGAGCACGTAAGAGGTGTGAGCCCTCTTATAAAACTGAAGGGAGAACAGGGAAAAGCAATAGCAAGAAGATGAAGAGAAGTCATGTCTAGCATGATGTGTGAGGATATCAATCAGGATATGAGCAGGCATGCCCAGCAATTAGGACCAGAATCAAAGCACAGAGAGCAATTCAGGGTGAGCTAACTCCAGGAGACAAGGCTCCTATGTGGATACCCAGCTCAAAGGGTAAGAGGCAAGCAGGATTAGGGGCAAGGCCAAGAACCTTGTATGCCACATCAAGGTCTTGTGTGAGAAGTAGGCAGGGTAGTGAGGAACTTGAAATGAGACAGGTTGAGCAGGCATATGAAGGAAAGTAAGCTAGGAGTAGAGAGTTCAGGGCAGGATATTTATCCAGCATTCAGAAACAGGATCTGGAAGCTGAAATGGTCAAATGAAGAGATTCCTTTATTCCCTAGATGCTGGTGGGTAGTATTTAGGTTCCTAGGGCAATCATCATACTCCTCAGAAACTCCAGTAGCAAAATCCAAGGTTCAGACCAGTCTCTTATCTAGGTTTTTCAGTGCTTTTGCGACTGTGACTGTCATCAGGCTGAAATTCTGAGAACTTGGCCACCTCCTCTTTGAAAGATGATCCACAGCCCTCATTCAGTGCTATGTGAAGTCCTGTTCTGTTGTTGCAACCCTGATCCTTCAGAGGTTATTTTCATCTGCATGTGCATATATACGTACACCAGATTAGACACAAGACCTAAGAGTGCAGCTGGAGAGTACTTCACAGAGTGTGAACATTGAACCCAGAAGAAATGTCAGAGAGGGTTTATCTTATTAGCATGGCACCAGGATTTATAGGGTGATTTGGATAAAGCCATCTTGTGTCTGACACTTATGCACCGAGGCACATCTTTAAGTGAGATTCTCACCTCCTACTCTACCGTCAAATAAAGTTATGTCTCCATTTTCAGTCACCAGGCTGAGAACTGAATCCTACTTCTTTCTCCTCTTTATGAACAGTTTCTTCTGAGAAAGAGAAACACTTGGTTCAGTAGTCTAGAAATGGCAGTGGTGGGTTTAGCAGAGACTTCACTTTTGCCCAGCCATGGTGTCAGGTTCAGGATCTCAGTGGCTTTTTCTGCTGAGGATATTGTACCAGTCTGATATCTGTGCTATAAGTAATGCCACGAACTCAGCAGAGATAAGAAGTTATGTAGGGCTCTTAGTGTTATCTTACCCACGCATGCTACTCAATGCTCAAGGTTTCAAATTGCGACAAGCCCTGCTTGAGGAACTGATTTAGGGTTGTTTGTGGTTTTGTTTTAAATTTTTGGGGGCAAGGTTGGGATTGTGGGGTTTACCTGGAGCGCGATTAGGTTTGGTGGCTAAATTCAATCTTTGCTTGAGTACATGCAGTTTCGACTTAGGTCAACTGGGTAGTACACCTGCTATCTGTACAACATTACAGCACTTCAGAGAGAAGTTTTTAATCATACAAGGAACTGTTTGTATTTCACTGTGATCTCCTCCCTCTTTCCAAATATATCCTTTGTTTAAGTGGCCTTAGGACCAGCCTGCATAAAGCTTGGCTTTCTCTGATTTATACCTTAAAATTAATTTATTTTTGCACTGCATTCTTGTGCACCTAATTTCAAATGGTCTAAATTCAAATTGTTGATGTCTGCAAAAGTATTTCAAGAGCAGCAGATGAGATCTGTCTTGTTACACAGTGCTAGATGGACACAAGCAGCAGCTAAGATAGGTGTATCAGCAGGGCTGTCTCCTGAGCAGTTTTGATCATGTGGAAGTCTGGCAAGTAGCATTCACCATTTTAACTTTCCAAAGATAAAGAATTAAATCTTTGACCTTACTTCCCTTTTTCCCTGGAGCCCAGGACTGGTCAGTGCTGAAAGTATTCAGCATTTGGGCAGATTTCAACATGATTCAATCTGTTCCAAAAAAGAGTTGCAGAACTCTTGATTTGGCGCTTTTTTTTTCCCCCTTGTTGTTTTTTTAAATACATTATCGATAATATTTGTTATTTTGAAATATTTCTTATATGCTTACTCTCCCATTTTCACACAAACATCAAGAAGACTAGTTAGTAGTTTGTAGAACTACAATAGGAGAAACTGTTAATGTCAGGTTCCATCCTGCCACTAAGTGTGCTTAATGCATAAGGAGATATAGGACTGGGACAGCTATGTAGGATTTTATCACAGAGCTGGAGTGTGTGTTGAAATAGCTGACGTGCCCATGGTTTGTTACTTTCTGGGCAGCCTACTTGCCCGCGTGCCCTGCATGCTACCACCCAGGAATTGCCTCCAAGCCTCTCAGTGCCAAAACTCCCTGGCATGAGGCTGCCCTTCTCCTCTTGTATGTGGGACCGAGCAACACCAAATGTGAACGCTAAAAGAGGACAGATTAGGAAGAAAGGATTTCCAAAGATTTTAAACCCTCCAGTTTTAATACCACATCAGGAGCACGCCAAAAACCCAGGTAACTCAGAGAAGAACAGTGGCAACATCTAGTGGCCGTCGAAGCTATAGATCTGTACTGCCTGGTAATATCCTTACTCCTCCTGCATGCCTAATATTTGCCCTGCTGGACCCTTCTCCTTCCATCGGGTACGATTGTTTGGGGGTAGATAGCCCACTAAGCACCTTACTATTTTCTGGTGAAGTCAAATTCCTCCCTAGCCTGCTGCATACCTCTTCAGTAATCCTTTGACTTTGCTTTGGGCCAGTAACCTCAGGGCTGGCTTCCGTTCCACCTTTGAAATTCTGTTTGTCTGGCTCCTTCTGACATGATCTGTTGTGAGAAGAAACGACTCTCACTTGGGAAGACTGTAGAGGTTAACAGAAAATTTAATCAGAGCCCTGGACACAGCAACTGTCCTGCAATGTGTCAAACCATCTGGAGTAGCTCATAATCCTACTATGTCAGCTTTATTAGGCAAAGCAAGATGCAGTCCTAATCTGCAGCCTGTGCATCTGTAGACTTACTGGTTTGACAGAAGCTCAGGTTTCACAAACATTGCTGTCCCTTTGTGTGTTTCCTGTCTGAAAATCAACCAGAAATAGTCCCAAGACCGACCTCCAGACCACTGCATAAGAACCCCCTTCTTGTAATTAATCTGAAAAATATCCACAAAATGATACCTGGGCAAGTGTCTGAAGTCTGCAGTCTAATCATACATCTGACACCAGCATCTCCTGCAGTGCTCATGAGTTACTGTCTGTGTATGATACATGTCTAGGAAAGGCGGCTTGCTAACGCTTGTCCTAAACTGAGCAAAATGAACCTCTTGGGACCCAGAAACTGAACAGACTTTAACATGAATTGGGTTAGGACTAGGGTTAGGCTTGGAGCCTGAAGATACAGTGAGATATATTTGATTTTCTGACTGATGTGGGCTTCTGATCTCTTGGTTATTATTAAGTTGAATTGTTCAATGTGAATTTAAATTTGGGTTTACCACAACTTAAAAAAATTTGTTGATACCAGATTTACAAGCAAGGGGTAGAGTTTGGGTTAGAGCAAGCTGAGGGGCAGGCCAGCTGGGGTGCCCCCTAAATTCTTCACCCTATCAGTATGTGAGTGTATTATAGCCTGTAGTGACAATGTTTTGAATCTTGCTGAAGTTTTTACTTGCACAGGGCTTTTTTAATATATAGGGCGTTAAACTCCTTTTTTTGCCCTGAACATGTATAGCAATATTCTTTATGATTTTGATCGAATCCTTACCATATGGAGAAGGCAGTTTCAATTAAATCTCTTTTTTGTTCTTAATCAGCGATGTTCTAATTTATTTATGTAATTTTGCAGGTGTTAGAAGAAAGAATCCAGATTTGTACATAGCTGGTATGAAAACATTTTGGGTTTTCACATCTTGAAACATTATATCTTGGAACTTCGAATTATAACATTATGACTTCACCTGACTTTGTAGTCAGGTGAAGTTCCCAACGACTGGAAAAAGGGTAATATAACCCCCATTTTCAAGAAGGGGAAAATGGATGACCCAGGGAATTACAGACCAGTCAGTCTCACCTCTGTGCCTGGCAAAATCTTGGAGCAGATTATACTGGAAGGCATGCTAAGGCACATGAAAAACAACGAGGTGCTTGGTGACAGCCAGCATGGCTTCACTAAGGGGAAATCCTGCCTGACCAATTTGGTGGCCTTTTATGATGAGGCTATGGAACTGATGGGCAGGGGTAGAGCAGTTGATGTCATCTACCTGGACTTGTGCAAAGCATTTGACACTGTCCCGCACGACATTCTTGTCTCTAAATTGGAAACACATCAATTTGATGAATGGACCACTCGGTGGATAAAGAACTGGCTGGATGGCTGCACACAAAGAGTTGTGGTCAATGGCTCAATGTCCAGATGGAGACCAGTAACGAGTGGTGTCCCTCAGGGATCGGTGTTGGGATCGGTCTTGTTCAACATCTTTATCGGTGACATGGATGGGGTTGAGTGCGCCCTCAGCAAGTTTGCCGATGACACCAAGCTGTGTGGTTCGGTTGATATGCTGGAGGGAAGGAATGCCATCCAGAGGGACCTTGACACGCTTCTGAGGTGGGCTGATGCCAACCTCATGAAGTTTAACCATGCCAAGTGCAAGGTCCTACACCTGGGTCGGGGCAATCCCAGACACAGCTACAGGCTGGGCAGAGAAGAGATTCAGAGCAGCCCTGCGGAGAAGGACTTGGGGGTGCTGGTCGATGAGAAAATGAACATGAGCCGGCAGTGTGCGCTTGCAGCCCAGAAAGCCAACCATATCCTGGGCTGCATCAAAAGGAGTGTGACCAGCAGGTCGAAGGAGGTGATCCTGCCCCTTTATTCTGCTCTCATGAGACCTCACTTGGAGTATTGTGTGCAGTTCTGGTGTCCTCAACATAAAAAGGACATGGATCTGTTGGAACAAGTCCAGAGGAGGGCCATGAGAATGATCAGGGGACTGGAGCACCTCCCATATGAAGATAGGCTGAGAAAGTTGGGGCTGTTCAGCCTGGAGAAGAGAAGGCTGCGTGGAGACCTCATAGCAGCCTTCCAGTATCTGAAGGGGGCATATAGGGATGCTGGGGATGGACTCTTCATTAGGGACTGTAGTGATAGGACAAGGGGTCATGGGTTCAAATTTTAACAGGGGAAGTTTAGATTGGATATAAGGAAGAAGTTCTTTCCTGTTAGGGTGGTGAGGCACTGGAATGGGTTGCCCAGGGAGGTTATGAATGCTGCATCCCTGGCAGTGTTCAAGGCGAGGCTGGACAGAGCCTTGGGTGACATAGTTAAGTGTGAGGTGTCCCTGCCCATGGCAGGGGGATTGGAACCTGATGATCTTAAGGTCCTTTCCAACCCTAACTACTCTCTGATTCTATGATTCTATGAAATACAGATTAAGCCATTGCTAACAATAAAGTAACTAAAATTAGTTCTGAGTTAAAAATTTACATTAAGAAACTCTGTAGGGCTTGTTGCTGCAGCTCAAAATCTGCCACTCTTTTGTTTAGGAACATTGAAACATAAGATACTACTTCGATTCGGTAAAGTAATATTGCCCGTAAAACGAAGAGGAGTTTCAGAACCTCTCCATCACGTTAAAACTGCCTTTTTGCAAAGGCTGGGCAACTCTCTTAATATTACTTCACTATCACAAGATAGAATTTATTTATGTATTTATTTACTCAGAGTGCTTTTTTGGCTGTTGTTGTTGTTTTGGTGGTTTTTTGGTCTTTTTTCCCCCAAAATCGGTATGTTAAATCTGGTTCGTCTGTTAGTTGTGGCATATTTGCCATGTGACATATGGGTGAAGGTGGCCAAGTGGGTCACAAATAATAAGACTTGAAATGAGTTGTTATCCCTGCACACCACTGACTGTTTCTGCTTTTCTAGAACTGTCATGGTCATACTACCAAGGTCATATTATCATTATACCTCTACCATGTCAGTCCAACCAAGTTTACTCCCTTGGCATTGAAAATCAGGTTAACTTCCATGAAGTTTTGTCTCAGACTATAACAGATGTAGCTGTTTTTAAGCCTGCTGCCTTTGGCTAAGTGCTCCCAGTATAGCCAGGTGTGCTCCTATGTGATTGTAACAGGTTTCCTGTGGAAGCAAGAGTAAGGATGGCAATCAGTAAAATAATGCTCAGCAGTCTGAATAGACTTTGCACTTGTCATTGTAAAACTTAGTCAAAAAATTCTAGCATGGAATTTGAAATCACGTTTTTCACTATTTCTTCTAAAACTGTTATGTGTAGGCTGAGTGCTGTGATTAGAAAACTAAAGGCTGGGGCCAGGCAATACAAAATCAGACAATGTTCCTTCCTTAGTTTCTTCTTTGTCAGAAATGTTTAATTTCTTCATTTGATATTGCTGTATAAGCTGTAGGCTGTTGAAATCCTAACTGTAACTCTGAGGGCAGTGTGGGTGCCACAGCAACTTCAGGTTTTTCTAGGAAAAAAAATGCTTTTCAGGGTGGCTTTTCTGGTATCCTACGCATTCAGAACTTTTTTGTTGTTGTTGGCTCTTTCCCAGGACCTCAGAACTGTTATTATTGTGTGGCTAACCCTGAAAGTAAAGCCCGTTCATAGTTTAAGGCAGAATCAAGTCAGCACAGCGATTAAGAAGTGGGTGTTTGAATTACATTATTTCTGTGACTTTTCCATAATACTTTGCCTTTTAGGAGTGGAGGTCTAGAGACTTTCATGAGAATAACAAGCAGTTTGGAAAGGATCTCTAGGAATCTCTTGCATGAGATAACAAAGTTAGTAAATGTTCCTAGGAAAAGTTTTGGAAACGTTAACCATGAGCAGTATATTAGTGCTAAAAGGAAATATTTGCTATTGTCTTTTTCTAGGAGTGGGTGAAAAACCAAATTCCGGTCTAAGGCTACAGTCCTTTTTAAACCAGATAGGCTGCAAATTCCTAAAATTGTAAATTCCTAGGTTACACAAGATATATCAGCAATCCAGTGGAAATGAGTCTAAATCATGCTCTACTTACATGAATAACCTTATTGAAGTGACAACAGCTAAACATATGGCAAATCACTTCTATTTTTTTAGCTATCAAATAGTGGATTGGATTGCATGCTGAAAACCTCAGTAAGGTAGGTAAATATAATTCAGAATGTATTACACTTCATTTATCTCCATGTAACAGTATTTCTTCTAGAAGGGTTATAAAATAGACAAACCAAAGGCACGAGTACCAGCCTTGTTGTTGGTTGCCATTTTTTAACACTTAGGTAATAAAGGGGCACTTTATCTTCTGTCTCCTTACAAATGCTTATAACAGAGGGTATATTTTTAGGTAATGATAGGAGAAAGTGTAACTACACTCTTAACATTTCTTCGCAGCTGGAGAGATGAATCACCAGGAACATGCCAGAACTGGAATGAAGGGAGAGAAAGAGATCAGCAGAAACCAGGGAAAAGATGTGGCTTCATTTCATCACAAACAGGTTTATTTTATATTTCCTTTTGCTGCCAGAGTTAAGACTTGATTCTGTTGTTGGCCAAAGAGGTTATATATTAACTGCTCTCTCTCTTATGATTAAGAAAAGAATAGAGAAATATCATTAGCATGCTCAGAGACTAGTTTGTAGGACTTAAAAGTATATTAATAGTTCCAGTTCTCTAATGTCAAAATACAAAAATTCCAGTGATACTGATACTTTAGTTTTACTTAAGAATCTGTTATGTGGCACAGCAAAAATGTTAATGCATTGCTGGTTTTCACAGCCAGTTTTCTCATAACCAAATGAGCCAGATGGACTGAGCAACAGTATTTCCTACGTTTATAAACTGTTTTTTCTACAAGCATACAATATACTCAGGTTTCTAGCTTATTTCTGATCCCATAGCCAATCTGCTGAGGGATTTTGGGGTACTATGGTTTTGGTGCTAGCATTTACATCATCACATAGCTCTGTATTTTACTATGGCAATAGTAATAATAGCAACAACAATAATAGCAATAAATACAGTGCTGGTGGTTCCAGTGATTTCTGTCATCTCACAGTCTCTGTTTTCTGAAGATCTGCAAGTCATATGAGAAAGTAAACATATCAGGTTCCATGGATATAAAATATGCCCAGCTTTGTGTTTGTGCAAAGAGCTGCAGAAAACTAATCCAGCTGCACTCTTGTAATCTCAGCCTTGAAAGCCAAAATGGAAAAAAAAAAAAAAGTAAAACTCTTTTTCTGCACATAATCTTGGGTTTTTGATTCATGACTTTCAAATTCTTGAGTTTGGTGTTACTAGAGCTAGTATGAAAGGAAGAGACACCCACCCTTGCCCCTCAGCTGAACAGTAGATGGGAGCTGGTCAACAGCTTGTTGAGTGCACTGAAAAATGTATTTTCCTCCTTAGCAGGTCAGTGTTTTATGGCAGTACCTGGATCTTGCCAAAAGTCTTCAATGTAAGGAAGTGAAACTGTTTTATCTGGAGGCGTATGTTATGTGACTCAGTGTAGAGGAATTGGTTTAACACAATAAAATCAAACTGGGGATGAAAGTATGAGCCCTGTAGGCCATCAAATCCACAATAATGTGATAAGTCCCAAAGTATTTGATGTAGAATGTCATCTTACTCAACCACTAAAGGATACCCTTATTAACAATGTCTAAGCTCTCTAAGGAAAAAAGCCCTTTCCAATTCTTAAGCCGATATTGAACTGTGATTTTTCTTTTTACAGAGGACTCTGGGGTAATGCAAACTGTACTGTCTCTCTTCGTTGTATTTGTAAAAGTAAATTTGCATGGAAAATAGAGAAAGAGATCCCAAAAGACCAGAACCATCAAGGAGTATGCCCCAAACGCTGGCTGTGCTTTGGATTCAAAGCAAAACATCTTTTTTCTGCTGTTTAATTTTTCAAAGTGCTTTCCATATTTATGGCAGAAATTGGACTTCTTAAGGATTATTCTATATTTGAAAATTTTATTCCTTTTTGAAAGCAAAGACCTTAGGTTTTTAACTACTTATACAGTGATACAGAGGTTTACAGCAAGTTGAGTAGCTTTGCACACAGAATAAGGTGTCTTAATAAGGTGTCAAAAATTTTACCTTAGTTCAAGGAAATAAATACTCAGATATGTGAAAGCTATTTAAGTGTATTTGTGCCTTTGGTGTAAAAAAAATGCTCCATCCTGTCTTTTCCTCTTATGACAATTCCAAGAGTCTTTTATGCTCTCAAAACAGATCTCTTATCCCTTCTTCCACTAAATGGATCCTTAACTGATGCCATCCTTGGAGAGATGTTGTTTCAAATAAGGTTCAAATATAATTATAATAATTATAAACCAAAGTCTATTTGAAATTGAACATTAAAAGGCAATTATTTCATCAGGCTTCTTTTAAATACATTCATTCCTTAATAGCAACATGTGTGGACGTGGCCAGATTTATCTCAGTACTGAACTGCAGTGACCACAAGGATAAATTTAACCCAGATTGTGTTTGCATTTAAACAGCTGATTTGGATCCAAGCCTGGTCGCAGCTGAAAACTGATACCAAGCATGTTGGAGAGGTCCATTGCAGGACAGAAACTAATGAAATATTTAATATTCAGTGAATTCAGTGAAATGTTTTGGTGATCACTCTTGCTGATAAATAATTTTTAAACTGGCAAAAAACCAAAACAAGCCCTTTTTTTCTTTTCTTTTTTTTTCTTTACAGCTTTTGGATACAAATTCTGAAGGATCCAGAGCTTCTAAAAAAACAGTACATTTCACAAGTATTCTGCAGTAACTATCATAGGTCACTTGCTTCCCTCGAAGATGAATTGCAACAAGGTAGAGTACTGAAAATATTGTTAAATAAATAAAATTTCATCTTCATTAGGATAATAAAGTTTCATCTTGGATAGCAATGTAGGAAAAAATGTTATTCAGATCCTACTCATGGTTCCACTGCTTTAAACAAATTAGTGTTTCTCTTTCCCAGATTCCTAAGATGTAAAGGTTCAAATATTCACTGAGCTATCTGGCAGGTACATTTTGAGGAGTAATTAGAATTTCTTTTGTGCTTACTATCATGCATTAGAAATATAAAACCATAATGGAATACCCATTTAACAATTTGCCATGCAAAAATTCTATGTTAAGAACGTACCATCACACTGTTATAAAAGCAACCTCTTTTTTTTTTTCCTTTAATAGTGCTTAAAACCTGATCTGTAATATAGCACATAAGCATAACGCTAGGCTGGAACTGCCAGAAATAAATGCCAGCACTTTCAGAAATATTTATAAAACCTATTCATACAAATCTGGGCTTGAATTGCACACATTTGTAAAACCACTTATTTAGAGGTGGGAGGAATCTCACTGGGTATCTGTAACTGAAAAATCTTATTTTCAACTAAAACTGAGAAAAGTTTTACCGATGGGATGGTACCCGAAGCTAATAACATAAGTTGTTCCAGCTGCTGTGAACATTTCTGGAAGAATTCTTAGGTAATGGACTAGATCCTAAACCAAATGAAATTAACTTCAGTTAACTGAATTTACAGCTAAATGACCTTGAAAGGCTGCTCAAGTTCTTACTTTCTAGTATCTATGCAATGTCATTGATTACTAATTAATTTTTTCAGTGCTTTGGTGTTCTGGAAGAGACTTCATCTATCCATAAATGGCTACCAATTAATTTCATTTTATTCCTGTTTCATTTTCCAGCTTTCATAATAGTGAATCTATTTGGACAGAAAATTAGTGTTTGGATGGTTTCCAGAGTGACAATTATGAAAAATAGGTGAATGAAAATCCTCCAATGTACACCAACTGGTCTCCAGTTGAAGTAGTGCATGTGAGTATTTCCAGTTGGTTTAAGGACAGTGGGAAGTTGTTTTATCCATAAAAATGATGACTGCTGCCAAGACAAGGCCTAACTTGTTACAGTAACTTAATCTTCTATTTATTTTTTCAGTTTCAAAAAAGCTGTGGCCACAGACTTATGGGCATAACTGCAGGTAATAAAATGCACTATCAAGACAGTTATTTACTTAAATTTGGGTTATAATTACATCCTCTTGCAATTTCTTTTAAGCACCAAAGTTCAAATGATATTGTTGATGAGCATATAATAAGGTTATGAATTTTCTTATTCATAAGGAACAAGATTATTAATTTTGCATTTAAATTTATTGTTTTACACAATGTCCATACTGGTCTTAGCATTTGAGTTTATTCAGTGAAAGCTTTTGCCTTTTTTATTATGAGCTTATTGTTTCAAATTGTATTTATGGGAGTGTTCGTTGTTCTACCTAAATATTTGTAATAATGACCTTCAGATATTTATTGTTCCAAATTTAGTATAATAATTATGCATTGTTTTTACGCAATGTCTTTTTTAAGAAAAGGTTCTATATTGATTGTAGAGACAGTGCTATAACAGTGCAAATGTTGAAGAACAACTTCCACTGTGTACAGTGGAATCAAATAACCCTGATTTTTATTTTACAGGGAAACGGTACTTTAAAAAAGTCAGAAAAATTTTGGGTTTGTCTGCCAAAAGTCTCAGGGAAAGGTTTACTTTTGCTTTGACTCTGTTCTCTTTTCTTACTATATTGAATTCATTTTACATTATTTTCATCTAGGAGCAGCTTATTATAGGTATGTCTAAAAGCAGGAACATAAAAGATTTCGAAGATTAATATTCAGACAGACTACATCAACGCTGTTTAATAAATTAATCGCTGTGATGTAGAATTGATTTAAAAAAAGAAGTTACTAAGTTTTCTTTCTAACTTTGAGCTTTCTATTGCATAACTTAGAATCAGGTATAGAGATGAAATTTCACGTTTTCTGTCATGGCAGCAGATTAACTGCATGAAATTAAAAAAAGCAAAACTGAGGGTAACTGATGAAAATATGATGAGGGGGCAGGACTTGTAAAGTTAGATTAGAACAGACTCTATAAAATGCATTTCTGTGAACAGTGCAAACTGACTTGTCGTTCAAATAGGGTTTGGCTTTTCATATTTGTCTAACTTTGTTACCGTAAGTTTCCTTGCTAGAAGCATGAGGCTTTTGTGGGGACCACACGTTGTTTGGTTTCTTCAAGCCACATTCCTGTGTTGTATCTGGGATGGGGAGCCGCCAGGTTCCCCAGGGTGCTGGTGCAGCTTTGGAGCCCAGTGGGAAGCTGCCAAAAATACCAAAATAGACCAGTGGCAAATTATTAACCTAAAGCAGGGCAGGGAGGGGAAGGTGGGGGGGGGGGGTGGTAATCTGAATCTGTTTGGAGTGCCCTTGGGTGCTGTACTTACTGCAGGAGTGGTTTAATATGGCTCAACTTTATATATCACCTCTTAGTTAAGCTCTGGGCCTAAAGAAACAATCTCTCCTGCTGGCTGCCTAGGAGGTAAGGGAGAGTGAGTCGAGAAGTGAAATAAACAAATGCAAGCTTTGGGCAGTGCTCACATGTGGCTCTAGCAAACCATATCCATATTTGACATCATTTATTATGAACTGCATTTGAGGGGAGTGCTGGAGTAATCCTTCACATAGTGTGTGAAAAAAAAAAGCAAGCATTTTCCTGCTGGTTTGTTTTATTTACCTCCTAAATGTTTGTATTTTAAGCATTTGCTGCTGCTTTGGGTAGATGGAAAAGGCATTAGAAGTTAGAATAACCTCTGGCATAGTGTGGCCAGGCTGCAGGGCACTGGGGGGGAATGAGGCTGCAGTGGGTGTTACGGGCCCTCACCATGTTTTCCCAACTGGGTGAATGTGAAAGTAATTCATGGGCCCCAGCCAAAGCATGATGGGGATGGGAGGACACACTGGACCCCCAGCTCAGTGCTGCCTGCCTGGCCCAGGTGCAGCAGGATGCTCCTGGAGGTGAAGGGGCCAGTCCTGCCTCTGCAGTGGGACAGCCGTGCCACTCCCCCAAACCATCTGCAGATTGCTAATTTAGCAGAAAACTTTCTTGTCTGATGTTTTTTCTTCCCTTTTATTTCCACCTCCCCCACAATTCATGTCCTTTCCTATGGTTTTCCAGGTGCATCAGCTCATTGCAGGGGCAGGCAAACACCAGACCTGTGCATGGGAATATGCAGCTGGAAGAGCAGAGAAGCAAGGAAGGAAGAAGTGAGATAGCCTCTTGCTGGCAGTAGTGAAGTGCTAGATTTGCTGAAACGTCCAAACAAATGTGTCAGTTCCTGGAAAGATGAGCTGGTGCTTTGCTTCTGCCATCCTGTCTGCATCCCATCTTCCCTTTTTTAAATTATTCTGCAGGAAACTAAAATGGAATAAACCAGTGGGAGATACGAACTGGGCTCTGATGTATTAGTGATGATTGAGTTAGCATTGTGTCAACATTTTACTGCATTTCGTGCCTTTTCATTTTTTTAAGCAGTGACATGCACTGTGAAAGCTGGAACAAAATGAAGTGCTTCAGTTAGCTCAAGAGCAGAATTGTGTCTTGCTTAAAAATTTCTTATTTTAGACTATTTGTGAATGACAAATAATAAATTAACTATTTTAAGGTACTTGTTAACACTCCTCCTCTCTTAGTCATAAGGGGAACCAAATCTAAAACCACTCCACTTCATAGCAAAGCACCCACTTCAGTTTGTAATCACAGAGAATTTTTATACACGGAAGTCCAAACTGGCAAACGGGGTTAAAACTGAGGCATTGATTTACTTTGACAGTCTTGCTTAAAGTATACTATGGACATTCATACACATTAGCAAAAGCATTTGCCTTCTGTAGACAAGTGAGAACAGCAACCGCAATCACAGACTGGGCTGGGGTGGAGATGGTCTCTTTCTCCTGATTTTTTTCTTATGAGAGACTCTATTTCTTAAATCCAAAAATTCCACTTCTTCCTTTCATGTTTGGTTGGTTTGGTTTTTTTGGTTTTGTTTTTTTTTTTAGATATTGCTGTGTTAGTTTATCATCAAAAAGAGATTTAAGTCTTCATGCCCAGAGGGTTTCTCTTTAAGCACCAGTACTGTGATCTTGCCTACATTTGCCCCTGGATAGCAAAGTTGAGCTCAGGAAGCTCCCACACCCTTGTACTATGATTCATAGAATAGTTAGGGTTGGAAAGGACCTTAAGATCATCAAGTTCCAACCCCCTGCCATGGACAGGGACACCTCGTTCTAAACCATATTACCCAAGGCCTCATCCAACCTGGCCTTGAACACTGCCAGGGATGGAGCATTCACAACCTCCCTGGGCAACCTATTCCAGTGCCTCACCACCCTAACAGGAAAGAATTTCCTCCTTATATCCAATCTAAACTTCCCCTGCTTAAGTTTTAACCCATTACCCGTTGTTCTATCACTACAGTCCCTAATGAAGAGTCCATCCCCAGCATCCCTACATGCCTGCTTCAGATACTGGAAGGCTGCTATGAGGTCTCCACGCAGCCTTCTCTTCTCCAGGCTGAACAGCCTCAACTTTCTCAGCCTGTCTTCATACGGGAGGTGCTCCAGTCCCCTGATCATCCTCGTGACCCTCCTCTGGACGTGTTCCAACAGTTCCATGTCCTTTTTATGTTGAGGACACCAGAACTGCACACAATACTCCAAGTGAGGCCTCACAAGAGCAGAATAAAGGGGCAGGATCACCTCCTTTGACCTGCTGGTCACACTCCTTGATGCAGCCCAGGATACGGTTGGCTTTCTGTGCTGCAAGCGCACACTGCTGGCTCATGTTCATTTTCTCATCGACCAGCACCCCCAAGTCCTTCTCTGCAGGGCTGCTCTGAATCTCTTCCCTGCCCAGCCTGAAGCTGTGTCTGGGATTGCCCCGACCCAGGTGTAGGAGCTCGCACTTGGCATGGTTAAACTTCATGAGGTTGGCATCAGCCCACCTCACAAGCGTGTCAAGGTCCCTCTGGATGGCATTCCTTCCCTCCAGCATATCAACCGAACCACACAGCTTGGTGTCATCAGCAAACTTGCTGAGGGCGCACTCAATCCCACTGTCCATGTCACCAGCAAAGATGTTAAACAGGACCAGTCCCAACACCGATCCCTGAGGGACACCACTCGTTACTGGTCTCCAGCTAGACATTGAGCCATTGACCACAACTCTTTGTGTGTGGCCATCCAGCCAGTTCTTTATCCACTGAGTGGTCCATCCATCAAATTGATGTCTCTCCAATTTAGAGACAAGGATGTCGTGTGGGACAGTGTCAAACGCTTGTCATCCTCTTGGTTGTTCCAGAACAGTCATTTATGAGGCCAGTCTTTGTGCTGTAAACTGATCTTTGTACTTTAATGAGTGGATAATTACTGCTGCTCATCCTTGCACAAGTGTCAGTTAATATATCTTGACAAATTTAAGGGATTTTAGATAACAGATTAGATCATGTTTAATGTAGCCATTTGGAATCCAATTGACATGACTCAAAAGAACAGTCTGCTTTTGTATGGGTTTAGATAGATTGTCTTCTCATTATCAATTTTACAGTGAGCATGTGCTAGCTTTGTGGGTAATTTTATGATGATTCTGGATTCTATTTCAGATACTGATGCAACAGACCCCCTGAAAAGGTTTTACTTCTGTACTTTCTTATTTTTTTATAAGGAGTAATTAAACATTTTGAGCTGATATTTTGTGAGCTAACTTTTTCACTGTTAAACCTCTAATTTAAAATGTGTGACATATGGGGAGTAATATGTTTTCCATAAAACACCTATGTGTTTATATTCAGAATTATCTATAATTATAGCTGTATTTGCTTTATAATACTTTATGTCTTCCCTTTCAGCATCATATCATGGGCTTGTAGCTCCGGCTGTTCCCATGACATTGGTGATGCTGGCTGCCATTTCCTTTTTTCTGTGGTGCCTGTAGAAGCAGAATAACCAACTCTTCCACAGGATACTTTGGGTCAGAAATACCTATTTGCCACTGATAAATGCTGACATTCCTGCTTTGGAAGAAAGCACCCTCATTTCTGATTTTGAGAGAAGTGGCAACAAGTAATTGATCAGAAACAGCAAGCGGTCATGTCTTCCATGTGAGTCTCCATGATCTGCAGTAGTTTTCTCCTTCTTGGGAGTCCCTCCTTGGGCAGCTATGCCCAGAAAATCCCTCACAGCCATTGGTATGAATGCTGTAGGGGCTCCCTACTTTGGAGAGCTTTTCCTTTGTGGCAGGATGAGGTGAGGATGCAGGACAGAACCACTGAGAAATTGTCCCCTTTGGGGCAAGCCAGGAACTGAAAATACTCCCACACCATAAACCTCCAACCACTTACATGGAGCAGTGGTGTCTGAGGCCCCAGAACAGCAGGCATTCTCATGAAACTTTTTGCTTGGGAAACATTTGGGCTTTTTTCTTTTGTTTTTATGTGTTGCAGAATCTGCTCCTCAGCCAGCATTAAAATTTAGTGTCGAACTTAGGAACTCTGAAACATACCCCAAGAATTCTGGGGTTATTTTTCAGACAGTGGATTCTTGCCAGGTGGATTTTCAAGAGAGATGAATTCAGGTGGATTTGCAGAGATGAAGTCACTTTTGACTTGAGAGTGCCAGAGTTTGGCCCATGATACCTATTTCATGTTGTAAAGCAAGTTAGTCTATAAGTATAATGGCATATAGGTTTGTCATCCTGAAGTTAACATATTCATCTGAGATGCATCCAGTGTCCTCTTAAAGATTTAAGTAGATGGTATCTCTCCTAGCTTATTTCAGAAATGGAATCCCATCAACCTCTTTTAAAGACATTTTGGGGCAATATCTGCTTGTATAAATCTTGCTGAAGTTATGGTTAATAAATTGCTTTACTGTTCACCTACATTATTTCTGCAAGCAGTATTGATGTGTGCTCTTCTGAGACTATGCTCTCAAAAGCTAAGGACGATAGGTGGGGAAGCCGCACTGCTGTTCCTAAAGGGTTCTATAATCCTATAAGCTGATGTAGCAGACCCTCAAAAGGACACTTCTCACTTTAAGTGTTCATAGGAAGGTGCTAATGAAGGAGATGATAGGTAAACTTAGCTGACTAGTTGGTCTGCGGGCTGATGGTTGTGAAGGTCCCAGCTCAGGTCTCAGCACTGCCTCAGTGACAGAAGCCCAGGAGAGCAGAGCTTACTCTCCATGGGACTCCCACCACCCTAACAAGCCTTCCACCCATGTCTGAAAATTGCTGGAAGATTTTCAGGGATTCTATTTTGTATTTTTATTGCGGTGTTGAAAAACAACTGGTTGGTCAGGATGAGTTACCTCAAAATGGATTTACTGTGCCTTCAGTGGCCTCTGAAACCTGCTGTGCAGGGCTGCATTCATTGTTGGGTTTGTTGGCTTGTTTGTTTTATGATGACTCAATCTAACAACTTTGCAAGAGCCCGAAAATGGAGGTATGTTCCTCGGAATTAAGCAAGCAGCTAAGGCCAACTGAAATGCTTTTACACGCTATTTGTGCACAGGCACAGGAATGTATGACTGCCTTTTAGCTATATTTCACATGGCCAATTTTAGAAACAAAAATTGCCTGTTCATGTTATGATTATGTATAAGGCTATTTAAAAAAAATTACTTAGTACATAGAATATTTCTGTGCTGGTCTACAGAACTATTAAAAATGTTGTCAAAGATGCTGTAGAAGGTTTTGATCCCAATAAAATTTTCAACCTACTGTTTACTACAACTTCTATGGGTGTAGCTATCACAAGTTCTTAATATGAGATTTTTCCATCATATGAAATATAAATTGCTTTTCTGGGTATATTTTGCCTAATCGTATAACCCCCTACATTAGTATTCAGTAATGTTTTGAAAGTTTGAGTTTAGTCCTCTAGATTTGTCTATGGGGCTGTTTTTATGTGAAGTCCACTATTAGAGTTTCTGGGCTGAAACATTTGCATACAATTGCCAGGTCATCTGCAATTTATATATATGAACTGTGATAGCTGCTTTACCACTAAAAGCAGCAGCTTCCCCATGAGAATGTCACCTATTTAAGCTACATTTGGAGGAACTTAAACCAACAAATCCCCTTCATCGCATAAACTGACAAGCATGTAAAAGCTTCCTTTTCACACTACAGCAAACAGAATGGCTTGCAGGATGGGTTTTGTTTGCCAGTTACCTGGTTTTGTCTCTGATGATGTGTATTTTTCAGGCTACAGTGTTGTTACTAGTTAGGCAAAATCTTGTCAGATTTGATGTCCTTAATTAAGGTGTATATTTTTCTCACAAAACTTGACATAGGCAATTTCCCTTGAGGTATGTTATAATATGTTTGAAGGGCAGTGGTATAATATACAAGGTGAAGATACGTGGACTGCAGCACTGTAGCTTCCATTGGTTGCACTGAAGCGCTTTCCATGTCGAAGAACTGAGTTCACCAGAGCCTGAGCAGGCAAACGAATGTTGCACTTTCTTCCGCCATGCAGGTTCTTTGATGGTGTTTACTGAAAGGGAAGTGTTAGATGTTTCCATACCACTCCCTTGCTTGGGGGATGGAAGGCTATTCCCACCAGAGATGGATACATTCAGGCCAATATATGACGAACCTTTCCTACCAGATGTTAAGGTTTGGAAAAAAAATCCGTGTGCTTATTTTTGCAGATTCCATTTCAGGAGAAAATTTACCTCCTGGTGCCCTTAGCAGTACTTGCATCATGTCTCTGAGGGAAAGAGATGCCTCATGCAGCTGTCACATTCAACCTGGATGGGAGTCTGCAATGCAAACATAAGTATGTCAGAGATGTCCAGCATGATAGGGCAGAGTGAGGGGTTGTGGCACAAGGCTGTAAGTGGGCAACATGACTCCTAAGCAAAGCCCTTTCCAGCTGTGCCTCTACTTGGTGCAGTGCTGCCCTTCTTTGTGCAGGGATCCTCCTCGCTTCTGCTTGCCTTCTCCCTTCCTCTATCTTCACACACACACACACACACACTTTTATGGCCTAGTCATGACAAGAGAGGAGTAGTGGGGCTGCTTGAAATCTGTGCAGTGCAGTCTAGAGGGAGTGCAAAGATGGGGTTTTGCATGTTGGTTTTAAATCCCCTCAGATCAGCACAGATCTATTACAATCTGATGCAGCCCTAAGTAACCGTCAGAAGCAAATTCACAGCTTTACAATGTTCTGAAATGGTATGAACTAAAGTTGGGAACACTTGGGGCTTGGAAACACAGTCTCGCTTTCGCCAGTAGATGGTAGTGGAACACACAGAGCTGACAAAATGGGCTGCGCACCAGTTAAAAATCGGGGATGTTCTCCGGATCTTTTAGAAGTTTTATTTAAACGAGCAGCCAAACTGTTAAGTTTGCAGGACTGCAAATATCGGTGTCAGTTCTTCGCCACACCTGCAACATTACAAAGCTTTGTTAAGACGTTTTTCAAGTCTCAGAGTTCATTCTCAACAACTTTAATGGGATGCACTGAAATGATTGGAAGGGGATAATGCAAGTCCTTACATTGTTCTGTGGGGTTTTCTTTTGGTTGGTGAGTGATGGAAACGTCCACTTGGATTCCTTAGTATTAAATAAGTAAGTATATCTTTGAGGTATGTTCTCAATCTGACCCCTTTGCTGGAAAAGTAATTCACAGAAAATGATGTGAAAATGCCACAAATGCATTCCTGTAAATGGATTTGTTTTAAAGTTTTATTTCTTGACTGTATTAGTGCAGGCATTTACTTATTAATTTACATGGGAAAAAAAAATTAAGACATAGTATTGAAAGTTATTAAACATTTTAGACATCCACTGCAGGAGTAATCATTCCACAGCACTGTTGAAAACGAATTTATTTTCTCCTTTTTTCAATTTATTCTGTGAACTGCTCAAATGTAAGAGTTGTTGATCCCTTTCTATATCCATTATCGTTGTGCAGGATGACTGAGATTTGGATTCTGATCTTAGAAATCTAATCATAAAAAAGGGCATTGAGAATCATTTTGGAATAAAGCCTCACTTCAAAGTCTTAGTTTTAATAATCTTGTTTCCTTATACTGCAGCTCTTCTAGACTTCCCTGATCCTCCTGTGACAAAGTAACTGCAGTTGTCAAAGGCAGTGTATTAGACCCTGCCTGCCACAGTACTTGCAAGTAGCACCATGGTAATTTATAACTACTGAAGTGATTCTCAACTGCAATCATTTCCAAAAGTGCACAGTTAGATAATAGCAAAACTACTTCCTACCATTTCCTTTATTTTTGCTGCTTAGTTTTCGTTCATAGGCTTGTTGCTGTTGTAGAAAAATCCTGATCTTTTCTTAACCTCAACCTACAGAATAGATCTCTACTGCAGTTCTCAGAAATAAATGATTCAAAAACATAGTTTTAGTGGCAACAGCTAAACTTGTACATACTAGATAAATCTTGAAATGCATAGTGGGCCAAAAGTTACTCTTCTCTGCATGCTAGCTAAGGCAAATGGTGAGGTTCTTTCTCTGAGTCACGCACATAAAGGCCTAACTAACAACCTGTGTTCCACAGTGGTGGCCAGCCTGCAGCAAATGGTGGCAGTCACTGGGGCTTGTAAGCCACCCACCACCACTTGGCTGACTGGTAGAATAGACTAGCTGGGTCAGTGTCTCAGACCATGCATCGGAAAACCAAAATTATTCCTGTATCCTCTCAGAGTTTTATAGGTGGATGTTTGTCTTTAAAAAAAAAAAAAATTTGAAAAAAAATTAATGTTTCCATTTATGCTGTGCAAAAAAAATCTTCTGTATTTTTCTTTCACTTTTTTAAATACTGAAAGTTAGCCCATCAAGTACTTTTCTTTTGTGAAGCTATTTATTCAGGTAATTTATACTAAGCATGATATTAGGCCTTTGAACTCAGCCATAACCTGATTAAACCTGCTTTGCCACTTCTTCCTGCCATAAACTTCATGTGTGTTGTAGGTAAGAAGCCCCTGGAAAGCCCTTGCTGGAAACCAAAACCAAGCTTGCACGGTGCTGATAAAATGCAGACTTATCAGCAGCTTTGGGCTGTATGGCTTCACTGGATTTGGAACTTCATCCCAGAGCTTGATGCTTCCAGGTTCATTCAGGTATGCAAGCAGAATCTCAAACATTGGGCATTGCCAATAAGCTGGAGTGCATAAAATTTTAATATATATATATAAAACATATATTCTAAGTCATATAAGGCTTCAGCTGTTATAGTCCTGGCACAGGTTACACATAATTCTGTTTTATCTGTTCTAGTTTCTTTTGTGAAGTTTCTCCTGATCCTAACAGGCTTACCTATTCTCTATCTGAAATATGACACCTACCTAAATGCTTACATTACCTAGACATTATATATTTTGCTATTTAATATTCAAGAGTGTCAGAAGGATTCTTTCTGAAAAGGTAAGAAAGTATTGTTTCTGCTGCTGTATATTGTGTCCTGCTAGTCCTGTGGGACAAAAACTACGTTGAGAGGCAAATTGAATTACTTTAAATATTGTTTCAAAAGCAAATGATGAAGATGGAGTTGTATATATGGTACACATTGTAACTATAAAAATTTAAGGAACTATTCAGTTAAATGTGGAAATGCATCAGAACAGCTCCAGTAGGCTTTCCATCTGGAAAGAACAGATTAATAGAATACTTACAAAAACAGCAGCTACTTTACCCTTAAAAATAGTTGTAGTATAAATCGCAGAGTGGCTCTTCCCCACACACCATACACAGGAATTCAGCCGACATTGATTTTACTACTGCAGGCTTCTGGAGTGCCTTGACTCACTGAACACAGCACATCTGGACCATATGTACCATGTGTCTGAGCATTCCAGTACAGTTAAATTGTGGAAGAGGGAAGGACAGCCTATGTGGGCTCCTTTCTCCATCTTGCCCTTGACCATCCATCCTCCCCTGACCTTCCAGAATCTATTCTGGATCGATGATCTGGATTTTAGCTACTGCTATTTCCCTATAAATTTGTTTCATTCTGATTGAATGTAAAGTGAAGTTGGGTGAGTCTCAGCTGCTTGACCACAGGTCATGCCTGATGACCTGTTTACTTGGGTTCTACTATGAAGATGTGTCCGTGATGTACCTTTGAGTAGTCCAGTTGCCTCAGCAGGTCTGGAGCAGGACCCCAGGTTGGGTGAGTCTCAGGTTGCTTGACCCCTTGTTCTGATGTAGGACAAAGCAAACCCTCATAGAAGGAAAGATGAAAGGAAAAGCTGATCAGTGGTGAAAGCAGAAGTATAGAAAGAACAGGGATCTGCCATTGAATAATTGTGATTTAGACCAGCACCAGTGCTGGCGAACAGATCTACAACACTGGATGGCCCTTTCAACTTAGTCTGGGTAAAGAAGAGTAAGCCTGATCTGAAAATATCGGTATGTGTTTGCGGGACTGCTGATGTCTTATCCTGCTGCCTTCTAGCCCAAAACTAGCTTCCAGATTTCTGACCCAAACAAGTGTTCAACAGCCACAATTTAGGACCTCTGTGGACACAAATTCCAGACAACTGGGATATGAGAAACACCTCTGGTTAAGTCTGTGGTCTTCCTCAGACAGACAGTTCTGAAATGAATCATCCGATTCATCTACTACAGCAGCCAGGTACACAGAGGTACCCAACCTGCCCTGTGTACCAAAAATCTACATCCAGGGTGAAGGAAGTAAAAGCCCAGAATCTCTACAGGAAGAACACAAAAATGAAAGGAAGAGCACAAAAATAAAAGAATGCATGCAAAGAAGAAGCTGTCTTTGGTTTTATTATCGTTTTCCCCCAGAGACATCATAGACCCAGGTCACGGGATACCTGATGACCTGTTTACTTAAGCTGTACTTTGAAGGTGTGTCTGTGATGTACCTTTGAGCGGCCCAGTTGCCTCAGCAGGTCTGAAGCAGGACCCCAGGTGGGGACAGACTTCTGAGATAAACGTGAGCCCTTGCTTCTGCATAGGAGACAGCAACGTACTGAGCTCCTCTTTCTTCCTCTTTTGTAACATTTAGTGGAAATGGCAACTTCCTGCACAGCAACTGCCCAGTTCAAAGCTCTCAGATATGATTGACTTACAGGGCAGCTTTTGTCAGACTTACAAATAGCTGTTCCTAGCTCCATGTGGGTCTGCTGGAATGTATCTGTGGCCAAATCTGGTTCAAGAGCTGCTGGATAGACAGTAAGGCTCATGACATTCAAAGCAAAGCCAAAAGCTATGAGAAAGGGCAGGAATGGTTGACCTCAGTACTATCAGGATGATAAAATTATTAAAAAATTCCTTTTTGAAGTTGGATGCATTTAATCCATTTGGATGCAACACTGAAAAGAAGAAATTTAATTGACATGGACATTCTTCAGCATCTATGGGAATGGTATTTAAACAGAGTCCTAACACAGCTAGGAGGTTTTCCGTCTCCCTTTGGAGACAGAGGAATATTCATGGGATGCTGAAAAAAGCTGCAGCCCGGAAAGCTCACATTGGAGTGTGTTACCAAATACAAGAACACCCAAAACAGATGCAAGGCTTAACCTAAGGTGCACAGTGTTATGTCAGTGCTAGTATTTATTATTTTGACGATTGCATTTTAAAGCAATCTTTCTTTTGATCCACACTAACTGCTGGGCAGGGAAAGAAAAATAAAGCTTGCTTAGAAAATAATAAAATTTTCTGGCTGGAGGCCAAAACTTCACAAAAGAATACTGGAGCCTAGGATGTTTTGTTTGACGTCTTTGTTTCTGATGGATGTTGACTGAATTCAGGAGGATGATGGCACTTTGAACAAAACCAGCTGGGGAAGTCAGTCTGCTAATTATTAACCCTCTAAGGAAGAGACTGAATTGGAAATGTGCATATGAGATGTTCTGGGGAAATATAAAACATAATGTAAATCTCTTTGGAAAAGAAATACCTATACTGCAGCTGGTATTTTTAGCAGAAAGGGAGGAGACAACTTGTGATATATAAATGAACTCAAGATGGACAACAATTCAGTCTTAGACGCATTTTGTCCCTGTAGTATGATTCAGCAGTCCTGAGGCTGAAATAAGTCAAACATCAAGGAATTATGAGAAATTACATATTTATTGTGATAGAAATCATAGGGAAAAAAGACTGTTGTGCGCATCTTGACCACTTTGTGATAAGGAAAAGGGGATTTTCAAAGCTCTAAAGAGGAGAAGTGCATCAAACTGCATACTGTGCCTTAGAATATATTATTGAAGAGCTACTGTGATAAATATTCAGATACTTAATGTAAATATTTAAATCACACAAAGGGAAAAAGAAAAGGCATAATGGTCTTTGGACAGTAGCCACTGCTGTGACATATTTACAACTCACTCCACCTGAATGCTCTAATCTTTCCACTACAAGCTGGCCAGAGACGTCACTGTATAGTCTATACAGGTATTTTTCTCCTATTTTAGGTGCTTTAGGGATAGAAGAAAGGAAGAGTTAGATATGGGCACTACACCGAACTCTGGTGCAGTTCAGTGTTTAACCTGTGGCCAGTTGTAGCTATAATTATAGCATGAAATGGAAGCAGAAAAAAAAAAACCAAAACAAAACCACAATTAAAGGAAAAAAAAACAACCAACCAACCAAGCAACCAAAAAAAAACAAGGATGAGAGAAAAAAAGAAATTTAGGAAGAGCTTCTACCTTTGCTTAAAATCAGAATTCTTTTTCTGGTTAATACACTGGTTGCAGCACAGAGACATCTGCTGTTAGCAAGTGCGTGCCAAAATAGATGTAGCAGAATGCTTTACTGTTTAAAACAAACAGATCATGTGAGATGCCAAACTGATTTTTGTTTTCCCTCTAATTCAGTGAATAGTCATTTTAGGTGTCAGACTCTTAGAGAAAAATGTTATTGTTAGGCAAGCTTTTTAAAGTTGAATTGCTTGACAATTAATTTTGCTATCAGAGATGTGGCAGGAGTTGGAACTACATAATCTTTAAGGTCCCTTCCAACTCTAACCATTCTGTGATTCTATGTGTGTATTTTTGACTTTGTAATGCTGTAGGTGGTATTATAAGCTTAGCTAAACTCCTATGCAGTAGGTTATACAGTGGCTAGCAAAGTACCTTCTGAACTTGTCCATTTCCTGATTGTTTGCAGCTCTCTAAGTTGCTTTGAAATAACTCGGGTGTGTGTGTACTGATAGCTATTACAAATTATAAACTAGAGTAATTGTAAAGCATGCCAATTCCAGAATGCTGCAACAGTCTTCTGTCCCTCCCAGGACTGATTTTAATTGCCACTAGTTATGTAAAGTGAACCCTTACAGTACTTTTGACCAAAACCATGAAACTCAAGCATCCCATAGTGACCATGAATGCCAGTCTTAGCATATTATCATACACTTCAAGATCAGACAGGAAATCCACACATTTGCACAGGAATTAATGCAAAAGGGACCCAACACTTACTCTACCGGTGAAGTGCCAGTTGTGTGAGGTGCCTTCAGTTGTAGGTCCAGCTGCTTTCACCCTGACCTTCTGAGAAAAAGCCAAACTTCCAAAAAGAAAACAAATCTAATGAATGGAGTATTCAAGATGAGTGGGCATGCATCGCTATTCCTTTTCTTAGGCAGCTACAATACTAATAACAAACAAGCAGTCAAATGACATCAGAGCAATGGACAGTCACTGAGTCCATGAATCAACCAGTCTTTATTTCTCTATCTCAGAGGAAAACTGGGCAAAAGAAAGGAGAAGCTATGCATTTTACTGTTGTGCTGTTTGGTGGCAGGTACAGGCAAAATGCTGTTTCCTGGCCTTGCTATCACTATGTCATCTTAGCCAACTCACCTGTTTTTTGAGTATTCCACCTATAAAATGGGGGGGGGGGGGATACATTCTTTGGTGGTCTTCTAGAGAGAATGATTGCCAGGTACTATGCAAGTTGCAAAAACAACACCTTGTTACTAAAGAGAAACCCTCTTGCAGAACAGTGTGAAGTATCTTGCTCTGTCACTGTTTCCAGACTGCTTCTGAGGCCAGACAGATACATGTTATGCCAGAAAACTGTTGGTAAAATTTTATTTCCAAAGTTCTTTTTTCCAACTAAACTTGAAATAACTTTTGTGTGCAGTTCAGGC